GACCCAGCAGAGAAGACGAAAAAACTTTCTGCAGAGTTGGCCAACGGAAGGCTGGCGATGATGGCGATCATCGGCATGTTCTTTCAGGACATCGACAAAACACATTCCACGTGTTTTGGTACCAGTAGCGGTCAGTGGCGGTCAGTAGCGGTCAGTAGCCGCATATCTAGTTGGAGTTGGCATTTCAATAACATGTCATTGTACGTGTGCATGTCGTGAAAGCTTTTTGTTTCCTGCAGAGGATGGCTTGACTGGCAGCGCTTGGGGCGATTGGGCTAATTACACTGCCTCCCCGCTGCGTGCCTTCGAGAACGAACTTGGAGTTCAGGATCCGGTCGGATTCTGGGATCCCGCAGGCTTTACTGCCGACGGCAGCGTGGAGGACTTCAAGCGTCGTCGCCAGACCGAGATCAAGCATGGTCGCATCGCGATGCTTGCTGCCATGGGGTACATCACACCGGAGCAGCTCATCTGCAAGAAGAGTTCTATCTGAAAACGATTCCCAGGGTTTTCTGCAAAAACTGGCCTGCAAGTGACAGAGACTACACGCATGGGACCGGTGATGCTACATGTTGTTTCAACGTTGCGCGTGTGTGTCATTTTTTGTTTTAATATCATGTTTTGTTTCTGGTCTTCCGTTGCATCACAGAATTTTCAGACCAAGGATCACCGGCAAGTTCCCTGGTTATCTTTCTCCATCCGCAGGATTGAAGTTTGCTGATGTGCCCAACGGCTTGGCGGCAATCTCCAAGGTGCCTGCCGCAGGCTGGGGTCAGATTCTCGCGTACATGGCCTTCTGCGAGGTCTCTCAGGATCAGTCTGCTGGAACTGCGGCCGCCGCGGGCGACTTCGGCTTCAAGGTCCTGACGTCCAGCGACCCAGCAGAGAAGACGAAAAAACTTTCTGCAGAGTTGGCCAACGGAAGGCTGGCGATGATGGCGATCATCGGCATGTTCTTTCAGGACATCGACAAAACACATTCCACGTGTTTTGGTACCAGTAGCGGTCAGTGGCGGTCAGTAGCTGCATATCTAGTTGGAGTTGGCATTTCAAGAACATGTCAGTGTACGTGTGCATGTCGTGAAGGCTTTTTGTTTCCTGCAGAGGATGGCTTGACTGGCAGCGCTTGGGGCGATTGGGCTAATTACACTGCCTCCCCGCTGCGTGCCTTCGAGAACGAACTTGGAGTTCAGGATCCGGTCGGATTCTGGGATCCCGCAGGCTTTACTGCCGACGGCAGCGTGGAGGACTTCAAGCGTCGTCGCCAGACCGAGATCAAGCATGGTCGCATCGCGATGCTTGCTGCCATGGGGTACATCACACCGGAGCAGCTCATCTGCAAGAAGAGTTCTATCTGAAAACGATTCCCAGGGTTTTCTGCAAAAACTGGCCTGCAAGTGACAGAGACTACACGCATGGGACCGGTGATGCTACATGTTGTTTCAACGTTGCGCGTGTGTGTCATTTTTTGTTTTAATATCATGTTTTGTTTCTGGTCTTCCGTTGCATCACAGAATTTTCAGACCAAGGATCACCGGCAAGTTCCCTGGTTATCTTTCTCCATCCGCAGGTTTGAAGTTTGCTGATGTGCCCAACGGCTTGGCGGCAATCTCCAAGGTGCCTGCCGCAGGCTGGGGTCAGATTCTCGCGTACATGGCCTTCTGCGAGGTCTCTCAGGATCAGTCTGCTGGAACTGCGGCCGCCGCGGGCGACTTCGGCTTCAAGGTCCTGACGTCCAGCGACCCAGCAGAGAAGACGAAAAAACTTTCTGCAGAGTTGGCCAACGGAAGGCTGGCGATGATGGCGATCATCGGCATGTTCTTTCAGGACATCGACAAAACACATTCCACGTGTTTTGGTACCAGTAGCGGTCAGTGGCGGTCAGTAGCGGTCAGTAGCCGCATATCTAGTTGGAGTTGGCATTTCAATAACATGTCATTGTACGTGTGCATGTCGTGAAAGCTTGTTTCCTGCAGAGGATGGCTTGACTGGCAGCGCTTGGGGCGATTGGGCTAATTACACTGCCTCCCCGCTGCGTGCCTTCGAGAACGAACTTGGAGTTCAGGATCCGGTCGGATTCTGGGATCCCGCAGGCTTTACTGCCGACGGCAGCGTGGAGGACTTCAAGCGTCGTCGCCAGACCGAGATCAAGCATGGTCGCATCGCGATGCTTGCTGCCATGGGGTACATCACACCGGAGCAGCTCATCTGCAAGAAGAGTTCTATCTGAAAACGATTCCCAGGGTTTTCTGCAAAACTGGCCTGCAAGTGACAGAGACTACACGCATGGGACCGGTGATGCTACATGTTGTTTCAACGTTGCGCGTGTGTGTCATTTTTTGTTTTAATATCATGTTTTGTTTCTGGTCTTCCGTTGCATCACAGAATTTTCAGACCAAGGATCACCGGCAAGTTCCCTGGTTATCTTTCTCCATCCGCAGGATTGAAGTTTGCTGATGTGCCCAACGGCTTGGCGGCAATCTCCAAGGTGCCTGCCGCAGGCTGGGGTCAGATTCTCGCGTACATGGCCTTCTGCGAGGTCTCTCAGGATCAGTCTGCTGGAACTGCGGCCGCCGCGGGCGACTTCGGCTTCAAGGTCCTGACGTCCAGCGACCCAGCAGAGAAGACGAAAAAACTTTCTGCAGAGTTGGCCAACGGAAGGCTGGCGATGATGGCGATCATCGGCATGTTCTTTCAGGACATCGACAAAACACATTCCACGTGTTTTGGTACCAGTAGCGGTCAGTGGCGGTCAGTAGCTGCATATCTAGTTGGAGTTGGCATTTCAAGAACATGTCAGTGTACGTGTGCATGTCGTGAAGGCTTTTTGTTTCCTGCAGAGGATGGCTTGACTGGCAGCGCTTGGGGCGATTGGGCTAATTACACTGCCTCCCCGCTGCGTGCCTTCGAGAACGAACTTGGAGTTCAGGATCCGGTCGGATTCTGGGATCCCGCAGGCTTTACTGCCGACGGCAGCGTGGAGGACTTCAAGCGTCGTCGCCAGACCGAGATCAAGCATGGTCGCATCGCGATGCTGGCTGCCATGGGGTACATCACACCGGAGCAGCTCATCTGCAAGAAGAGTTCTATCTGAAAACGATTCCCAGGGTTTTCTGCAAAAACTGGCCTGCAAGTGACAGAGACTACACGCATGGGACCGGTGATGCTACATGTTGTTTCAACGTTGCGCGTGTGTGTCATTTTTTGTTTTAATATCATGTTTTGTTTCTGGTCTTCCGTTGCATCACAGAATTTTCAGACCAAGGATCACCGGCAAGTTCCCTGGTTATCTTTCTCCATCCGCAGGATTGAAGTTTGCTGATGTGCCCAACGGCTTGGCGGCAATCTCCAAGGTGCCTGCCGCAGGCTGGGGTCAGATTCTCGCGTACATGGCCTTCTGCGAGGTCTCTCAGGATCAGTCTGCTGGAACTGCGGCCGCCGCGGGCGACTTCGGCTTCAAGGTCCTGACGTCCAGCGACCCAGCAGAGAAGACGAAAAAACTTTCTGCAGAGTTGGCCAACGGAAGGCTGGCGATGATGGCGATCATCGGCATGTTTCCGGCCAGTATAGAGGGATCGAATGTCAGCCGTTTTGCTTTTCATTAGCCCACAACAGGCGGCTGAAACCTTAAACTCCCGGAACGCCGAAGACAGGGGATACACTCAAAAGCTACACAAGGCCCAAGTCCTAACCTCATGACACGCCTGGAAACCTCAAACTCTAAGCCTTCAAGCTGTAGGTAGATTACATTGAGGATGGCAGCTGTTGATGCCCAAGGTTCTTCCAGGATGGACTGACCGGGTCCGCATGGGGAGTCTCTCAACTGCAGGCTAGTCCTCAACCCTAAACCCTAAACCCTAAACCCTAAGCCCTAAACCCTAAACCCTAAAACCTAAAACCCTAAACCCCGAGTAGTTCGACAGCAGCCATCCTGAGCCGACGCTTCAGCCAAACCCCGAACCCTAAGCGCCATAACTTTGAAGCTGGAAAAGCTGAACCCTCAAGCCCTTCCTAGTTTTCAGACCCAGGATCCCAACCCTATAAACCTTATCTAAACCCCAAGCCCTCAGCCCTAAACGATTCCCCAGAGGGCCAGGGTTCAGGTTTGATGTGGGTTCCGGGCTGATTTCTTCATTTTTTGGGGGGAGGGAGGCCTTCGGCAAGTCCGGTCCATGCATTTCAAGCGGTGTCGTGCTTATCAGGGCTTAAGGCTTAGGTTTAACTTCGCGTTTAGGGTGGGAGCTCGGGGAGCCCAGGTTTCGATTTTGAGTGTGGTTTCCCTGCGGAACTTCAGGACTGGGCCAACTACACTGCTTCTCCTCTCCGATGAGGCGCCCCCCCATTTTGTTAAACGGACCGTCGTTTGGCGTTCGGGGTGTGTTGGCCAGGAGCCCTTGTGCAACACGAACCGAATTCTGAGTATGAGGCTGACAGAGCATAAGGTTGGCACTCGCAATTTCTTGGGGTTCTGCATTAAACCACCACCGATGTTTTTTCCTTGAGCCCTATTTCGGCAGGTGCATCACCTCCGGACATGTGAGCCCCCTTTGAGAAGTGGGCTCAGAGGGGCCTAGGGGCCCTAGTGGCTACTAGTGGGGAACTCCGAAGGAGCTTTGGAACCTGCTCATGACTTTTCGGACGCGAGGTCTTCCTGCCGCGCCAAACTGCATCTACGAAACACACATATATCCATACCTACATCTACATGCAGATGGGGATGGGTGATTGGTCGTGGTTCGAGGCACTACGATGACATACTCTTAGTTCTTGCTTGGGCGGGAGACACTGCAGCTCCGAACAATTGTTTCTAAGTCCGTGCCGGTGCTGTCCGCAGCATTTCTTTGCCATCTTCTGCAACCGGGCCACTCCACCGAACCCTAAACATCCCTAAACATCCCCACGCCCTAAACTTCCCAAAGCCCCAAGCCCAAGTCCTGTGGGTTGTAAAAGTCCTACGCCGTGCCGCTCAGTACCCTAAGAGCCCTGAACAGCTTCAAGCCATGCGCAGGCAACTCCGGCCCCGACCCTTTTACAAGACAAAACACGGCCTCCGAGCCGTGTTGGTTTTAAATGTACAGGAGCAGATCTTCAAGACGAGGCCATTTACGTGGCAGAAAAGGGCGCCCTGAACCCTGAAGGGATCCCCAAGGCTTGAGGATCATTAAAAACCTTGTGCAACTGAGAAGCAATACCAGCATCACATACACCATGCCTTCCCCCCAAATACCCATTTTCCTCTCCACGTTACCCCCCAACTAAACCTTAAACGGTAGGCTCCGAAATAGTTACAGGCTCCCGACGCCTCTTCGTCCCGAAATCCTAAACCCCCCAACGCCCAAATCGAGCGCCTTGCGCTCCGAGGGCCGCCCGCAGCCGAAGCCTGCACAATCATTTCAGCGGTTTCTGCGTGCCTTTTTGGTGGTTTGGGGGTTTTGAGCGCCTCTGAGGGACATAAGCCCGCCCCAAGGCAGTTCGCCCCTCTTTCGCAGGCCCATGCCGCGCGGGAGTCCGCGCGGGCGGTGGCGCAGGTGGAGATGGACGCCGAGCTTCAGCAGCAGGTGCGCCACTTGGGTTTCGAGACGGATACCCTCACCCCATGTCGATGGGGAAACCTAAGAAGCCTCAAACCTGTAAACGCCAAACTCTAGGGCGGTTTTTGGGCCCAGCTATGTGAAATCCCCTTCCGTAGCAAGTACGCGCCTTCTAGGTCCAGTTAGATCAGGTTCGGGTGGGGAGTGCTCTAGTGATGTTTCAGGGCTTGCAATTCGCCCTATGTAAAGTTTCTGGAGGTTTTAAGCCTGAACCCAGCATCCAGATGAAACTCAAGACGCTTTAACCACCCTAAACGTACAACGACACCCCAAACCCACGCAGCGAGCGCCGTCCTGCAGCATGTGAGCTTCGCATCCCAAAGAGGTCACTCACGAGGGGTCTGAGCCCTTACTTCAGAGCTCGAGGCTTTTTGGAATCTCAGCTTGAACACTCAAGCCTTGTCGGCTGAACCCTTCCCGGCCCCTACCCGTAAATTTCCAGGGGGCCAGCAGCCTCTCAAACCCAGAACTCGGAACTCCTAGACAACTCCCCAAAGAATGCTTGAGCCACGCTCCCCCCTTCCATGAACCACTTCCAGGGTGTCGGGTGTAGGGTTTAGGGCTTAGGGTTCAGGGCTTAGGGCTTTTTGATCCCCCTCCGAACAAGATCACCTTTCGGCCATCTCCCCCAGGAGTTGCTGCAGCGGCTGGCGCTGCTGCAGGAAGAGCTCGCCATGGAGCAGCAGGACAGAATGACCCCTAGGGGATACTTGGGAAGGAATCGGGTTCAAGAGACTTTGGGATTTAGGCACTTTTGGCTTTCTTTGGATTTTGGTACGTTCATCGCTTTTCTGATGGGGCAGGGTGGGGGCAGGGTGGGGGGGGGGGGGGGGGGGGGGGGGGGGGGGTTTACAAGATGCAAGCCCTGAAGCATGCCCAGACAGGCTTGTAGTACTTTCCTTGACACAATGCAACTACCATTGGGGCCCGGGCACCGGTCGGATACTCAGCGAACTTCTGGAACCCGAAGCCCACAGCCCACAGCCTGAGCCCCTGAACGCAGAAGGCGGGTCTGGAGAGCGTTTTGGGCGTTTAGGGTTACTGCAGCACGACCGATGGAGCAGCCGGAAACACCGACCTAAGCCCCGAAACCCCAGGAGCCCTTAAATCCGCCCCCGAACCCTTTTGAGGTCACACCCTTTGTAGACCTTCTAAACCGCCTTAACACCCCCTTGTGATTGGACACCAGAAAGCACAGCAGATCCTCGCAGCCAGGCGGGCAAACTCCTCGCCTCACAGCGCATGGCGGCCGCCAAGGCGGTTGGGCGGGTTTACAGGGCTTCGGTGTTCTTTGGGGTGAGGCGGGGGCAGGGGTTGGGCCTGGTTGGGCTGGCTTGGAAGCTCACGCGTAGTTGCAATGGGGATTCAGGGGACTCAGGGGACTTGGGGGTTTTGAGGTAGGGTTTTGGGGCTAGGGCTCAGCGATTTTGGACCTGTCCCGGTCTGCGAGGCAGTCCCACTTTAGTTATTGCTAGAGCCCCCCACAACCGTACAAGGTTTTTGAGCGTGTTTCTGGATCTTGTTAGGTGTTGTGGGTTTGTGGGCGGTTGGGGTGGGTGGATTGGGGTGGTGGGGGGGGGGGGGGGGGGGGGGGGGGGTGGGGTTGGCAATAACGTTCCTGCCGACCTTCACCCTGAACCCAATCCCTGAGGCCCAGAACCTTAAGTATGTTGTACAAAGAAGCAAAAACGCTGTACATGCAAGGGCTTGTTTCGGCAAGTTCGCTAATTTGCATGGGTGCTACTATCCCCCCAAACGCAGACACAAGGAAATACAGAAAGAAAGAAGAACCAAAACAAATTGGAAAGAAAAAAGGAAGACATACATCATGAACGACATAGAGAAACCGGGTGCAGACAGAATTACACAAAACAAGACAAGACACAAAAAAACGAAATTCGGAAATCAAAATCAGGAAGAAGCACCGAGTAGCAAACTACAGAAAGACCCGAAGAACGAAGTAATCAACAAAGAAAAGGGACAACATAACGACCGACAATAGTATTAATAACCATGAAAGTATTCAGCAGAACACTGTTATTTACGGTGTTTTTAACTTTGCCTCGCTGTGCAACATACTGCAGAATCACCACAGCACTCCAAACAATCATCTAAACCCAAGCACGGACTTCGTCCTAAAAGCTTGCAAGCCCGCACAGTGCAAGGCCACACAATTTACACCCTCAAAACACAGCTTGCATCCACGAGAAAGCACACGCAGACATCGCAAAAACGCATTAAACATTTGTCGCGTTCAACAAAAAGCTTAACACCAAGTGTTCAACTAGACGAAACAAAGTTTCCAGAAACAAAAATAAAACGCGCACGGTTGCAAGGGCGGCCGGTAATTTAGGGGGCCTAGAACGCCAGGTACAACTAGCAAGTAACTAAGCTTCCGCATGCCACAAGCCCCTGAACCCCTACCCCCCTAAACTGCCCCCACTGAAGCTCCCAGCAGTTCCCCTGTGCCGGGAGGTGCAGGCGGAGGCATCGGTGTTGCGCTCCGAGCAGGAGGCGCGCGCAGGGCCCTGCGGCCTCGACACCCCCAAAGCCCCCGCCCCCCCAAGAACCCTTAAAAATACCCCTTTGCAAGTGCCCTAACAGCACTAAAAGCCCGAAGAGTCCTTGAGAACCCGCAATGCTTGAAGTCCTAAAGCACCTCCACCACCTCAGAGCGCAGGCCGAAACCACCTTAGCGGGCGTGAGCAAAAACAACAAATGCATGGTGGCGTAGGTACCTAAGGTCCTTTTGGGCAATGATTCTGTTGGGGTTTTGGTCACCGCTCACCTGAAGGGCTTGCTGAGGTTACCTTGCCGATTAAAGAGTTGAACCTAGTTTAGCGTTGTGGGTTTATGGGTTTCGGGGGTTTGGGGTTTTTTGCGTCAAAGGAGTTCCCAAACCCGAAGCACCCCGTGCAAGGTGGCGCAGAAGGCGTGGTCGGAGCTGAGCGAGCAGCAGGCGCCGAGGGTTCGGAGACAGCTTAGAGGCTCCGTTGGCGGAGGCTCAGAATGCTTGTGAGGTCCAGGGTCCGGAGTGGAGCTCAGGAGGGAGGAGGGAGGTGCCTGGGACCAAAGCTTCAATGGGCGGAGGGTTTGGGGGACCAGTGCTGCTCGACAGATCTCAGGCCGATCCCTCAACCCCTTAAAACCCCTCAAGAACAACACGCGTACGGCCTTTTTAGGGCACAGGTTGTGAGGCTTGAGGGCCCCTAGGGTTCACATCCGAGGCTTTCTGGGTACTGGGGACTTGAAGGTTCCCAAGATCCGCAGGCGGAGATGCTGCTGGAGCTGCAGAGCCTGCTCCCCAGGTAGCCCAGGTACCTCCTCAGAGGGCTTTCTTCCGGGCCTCTGCGAAGATCTGTCACTTTAGGCCTAGTGGGGGTGGCTTTATCGGTGCTCTAAGCCTGGGTTGGAGGGTTTCATGTAGGCCTCAGGGCTGCCTAGGGATGTGGTTCTCGAGTGGGCTTGGGGTCCGGAAGACCTTTGTTTGTCCTCTTTGGGTTCTCGTTTCCTGCGTCAGGAGCTCACCGCCAGCTTCTTTCGGAAGGGATGAGGGTTTTTGCATCGAACAAGTCGGTGCACTACTTGGATTCAATTTGTGAGTTCCAACGTCTGATGGACATCGCCAGCTGTTCAGGCCGAAGCTGCCCTAGCTGTACTCCATACATGGGTGTGAGGCGTGCATGTGGGTCTATATTGGCTTAAGCTGACAAGATCGCGCTGGGACCATACTTGGAGAAGTACATGAACGGAGCGACGCAGACTTCGGGAAGATTCTGATTCCTGTCGTGTTTAAGGTTCTGGGTGTTAAGGGGTTAGGATCCCTGCACTACCCCCAACCCCCCCCCACCCCCCCAAAACTTGATATCCTAAATCCCCAAAACTTGATATCATCTACCCCAAACTTGATATCCCAAAACACAAACCCCAAGCCCCAAGCCCCAAACCCTAAATCCTATACCCTAGACCAAAAAGTTACCCCAAAACCTTGAACCAAAAAACTACCCCAACACCCAGAACCAAAAACTCCCAAACCTCCAAGTAGCCGAGGCCTCGCCCAGCAGCCCAAGTCGATGGACTTGGAGGCCTTGGCTGTCCGGAGCTTCTTTAACTTACTTCGCCTTTATTTAGTTGAACTTTGAACTTTTTGGGTTTCCTCATTTAGTAGGAATATTAATGTTTAACCTTTTTCCCCTTGGTTATTGGAGAAGTAAGTTAAGGGGCTTTAAGGGGCTTTAAGCGGGTTTCGGGTTTTGGGATTTTAGGGGTTTTAGGGTTTAGGGCTGAGGGTTGAGGGTTTAGGGTTTCTTCTTTAATGGGCTTTAAGGGGGTTGTGGGTTTTGGGGGAGGTTTATTCTTGATTCTTTTTTTTTTTTTTTTGGGGGGGGGGGGGGGGGGGGGATGGGGGGGGGTTTAAGGGGGAGTTTACGGGTGTTTTGTTGGGGGGTTATGGGGGTTTTAGGGGGGTTTAGGGGTGTTTAGGGTTTGGAGGTTTAGGGTTTATGGGTTTAGGGGCATTTAGGACTTTAGGGTGGTTAGGGCAGGATGGGGGGGGGGGGGGGTTGAAAGGTTTAGTTTGGGGCTTTAGGGGCTATGGGGGTATGTATGAGTTTTAGGTTGTTTTTGTGTTTTGTGGTTTTGCGGTTTTGCGGTTGTAACATCCTTGAACATCCCCACACGCACAACATGCAAACTCAAATGACGTTACATTGATCCCCACCCTCCCGATAGATAACACAAAGCCTCTTCGATGCAGGCAGTTCCCATGCAGTTTGGATCTTTGCTATCACTTACTACTTGACCCTAAGTTGTTGGGTGCGGAGAAAGCCATTGCATATCCAGGCTCATGGGGAGGAGGAGGGCCCCACAAGACCACCCTCAACCTCCCCAAATCCTGCTTTAAGACTTCCCACCCAAAACCCTAAACAAGACGAATACTAAGCTCTAAACCCCTACACCCTAGGCCCTACACTCCTGAACCCCGAAACCCCCTAAACCCCTTAAACCCCCCAACCCCCCCCAAGCCCCTTAAACCCCACAAACCCCCAAACCCCTTAAACCCCCCTAAACTCCCTAATCCCTACGAATCCGAGCACCCCTACAAAACGTTGGCGAGGCCGAGCTTCTAGCAGAGCGCCTCCGGGGCCGCGACCTGGCCTCCCGGGAGGCATCCTTCTCCTCCGCGCGCCCCCGATGTTTTCTTGGGGTTTTGTTTGCTGTGCAAAACAGCATTTCTCGGCACAGATGCGACCCTGCACACGACGCAGTCTAGACGCTCTGACGGTACAAAAACAGGGCATGTTGCACTTGTGTTATTCTGCACTGCGTCTTGTTCGTTTTGACCTTGACTTCCTGTGGGCTCTTTTGTTCAGAGGGCCGGTTGGGGTTTTTAGGCAGCTTCACAAGAACTATTACTTTTGAGAGGTTCGTTTTGAGCCGTTTGCTCTGTTGTTTTAGTTTTTTTGGATGTTCTAAGGCTTGTTTAATGCTTTAGGGCTTCAGGTGCCAGGTTTTGGAAAGAGTTTTTCGGGGAGTGCCTTTCCGACAGCTGCAGGGGTTTCGGTTCAGGGCTTCGGTTCTCCCTCTTAGGAGTTAGGGCATAGGAAAGTCGGTTTCAAGTCAGCTCACAGATTCAGATTCAAGTGCGTGGAGCTGCAGCACTGAGCCCTAAACCCGAAGAAGTTTGGCTTGAGAGACCCCAAACCCTGAAAGTCGGAATTCTTTGAAGAGACCGGATGTCGCACCTTCCCTGCTACCTGCTTTCCGGCCCCTGCTTTCCAGCCCAGCCATTTTATAAGACCATTACCCCTAAACCCCAACCCCCCGTCCCCCTCAAACCTTTAAGCCCCTGCAGCGTGTCGTGAGGCTGAGCTGGCGCAGGATCGGTTGGGGCGATGGTTGTTGATGCTGGCTCTAGGGCTCAGGGCCAGACATATCCCTTGACCCTCACAACCCCTTATGCTCGAAGATTGACCCTGCACCTCGTACAGCCATGATGGGTACGGTAGCACTCATACCTGCAACCGATCTTCTTCATTGATCAGCACGCTTTAAGCCCCAAACCCGCAGCTCTTGTCTTGTATGACTTTTTAGTCAACAGCACCCAAAATACCATGGCCATTCTAATTAAGTAGGCACGCGGTTTAGGGTTTAGGGTGTCAGCCCCAAAACGTCCAAACCTTAAACTGCAAGGGCTATCAGGGTGCATCACGAGTTCTGGCTTCGGCAGCTCAAAAGTATCCCAAGTCACGTTGGAGTTTATGGCGAAGGCTTAGGCGAGGGGTTACCGTTAGCCTAAGAATATGCCAGACACCTCGAACCCGAAACGGGAACTTCCGGGTTTAGGGCCCAGGGTTATGGTCACCCTAAGCTGAACAGCAACCCATGCTCCAAGCCCTCGAAGCCCTCCGAAAACCGCCTGTAGGGGCTAAATCCCAAACCCTGAACCCTCAACTCTCAAGCCCCTAAACCAGAAACCCCTAAGCCGCTAAGCCCTAAAACCCCTAAAACCCCTGAAAGCCTAAAGCCCCTAAAGCCCCTACAACCCCTAAAACCCCTAAGCCCCTAAATCTAGACCCCTCATCCTCAATTCTCTCCCCCCCCCTCCCCCCACCATCATGGCCCTGCGGCTGCATGTGGCGCTGCTCAGCGGGCAGAGCGCCGCGCTGCAAGCAGCACCCGAGACCAGCGTGGCCGACCTAAAGTGCCTGGCCTAGTTATTGGGGATTAGGGAGGAGGGCTTAGGGCTTAGGGGTTTAGGGATTTACGGCTTTAGGGGTTTAGGGATTTAGGGGTTATGGCGTTAGGGCTGAGGGGCTCTTAGTAGGGCTTAGGCATCAGGGATTTAGGGACTTAAGCGAGCGTCGCATCAACTTTATTGAACGGTTGTTTTCACAAACGGGAAGGATGCAAGGGTTTGGCTCAATGTCAGGTAAACCCCTCAGCCCATGGCGAGTGTCCGCAAACCCAAACATGGGCAGGCGTGGAGGTGTTTGCAGCCGCCTTTCCGGGGCAGTATCGTGGGAAGTTTAAGCTTGCGGTTCCCCCAAAGTGGGCATGTCAGAAGCCTAAGACCTGAAAACCCGAACCCTGAGCCCTGACATCGAAGCACCCAGTCTGCGCCCTGACCTTGAGCAGTGGTACCGCCATCCCTTGGAGGCGGTTGGGTTCCCTTGTTCTCCATGGGAGAAGCTGAAGCACAAAGCAGCGCCACAAAGCAACCTAAAGCCCTCAAAGCACCCAACCACCTCCCCCCTGTAAACCTAAAACCCTGGAGCCCTCGACCCCCGAAGAGCCCTCCATCTCTAGAGCACTGAAGCCCTAAACGCCCGACCCCCAAAGCCCCGGATCTCAAAAGCACTTGAAGCCCCTAAGCCTCCGACGCTCCAAAGCCCCCGCGTCTCTACAGTCCTCAGGGAAGGCACATGCTCCCTTCTTGAAAGGGTTCTCAAGTATGGGCCCTTGGGTCTTTTTGGGTATCTAAGGGGTTTTCTTCGGGTTCCCCAATCAAGGGCTCCTGTTAAGGGACCATGTAACCTAAGAAAAGCCCCTCTTGCCACCCAGACTTCTGGCCCAGCGGGAGCTCGGAGTGGGTGTGCAAAAACTGTGGCTTGGATTCCAGGCTGTAGAGGGGTTTTCGGGGTTTGCGGGGTTTTGGGGCTGTGAAGAATGCCCACCCACCCATTGGTCCCACCCATTGGTCCCACCCATTGGTCCCACATCAGCAGGTACATGTACAGCAACCTCATTGTTGCAAACCAACAACACATCACATCAAGACACCGCAATCAGCAAAGCAATTACACACAACGAAGGTAGACCTTCAGCTAAGATGCAACAAGACGCTCATCAACCACAATGAACTCTTGCTAAGAAGACCTCCTTGAAGAAGGAAGTCCCTCAAGGAGGCATCCGTAAAGGAAGTCCTCAAAAGGGCCCCTAAGGAAGGCCTCCAAAGCAGACCCCTCACGGAGGCCCTTAAAGTAAGCTGTTTTTCCCCGAGAATCAAATGACGTAGAAGAACAAGGACGCCCAACCTCCCCCCGCTCCCCTGGCCTGGTGCCAGAATTCAATGCAGCTTGCGGGAAAGCATGAGGGAGACCCGAAGCAAGCGCTTCAACCCCCAAACCCTACACCCCGAAATGGCAAAATCCGGGCAAGCGGCCAGAGGTTCGCCAGCTCCGGCGCGGCCCTTTCCGAGAAGGCCACGCTGCAGGAAGCGGGGCTGCAGGACGTCCTTACCGCCCCAATAAGGGCTTGTTGGTGAGTGGCGAGGGCTTAGGGTTCAAGGGTCAAGCCATTTCAAGGTCTCGATATTAGGGTTTAGGGTTCAGGGTCTAGGCTTAAGACTCATAGGGCTCTTAGGGCAGGCTTGCGGGTTTAGGGTCAAGGCTTTGAGGGTTCAGGATTAAGTCTGCAAGGTTTGAACGAGACGCAGCTAGGGTGGTTCTGCTGGTATTCCCTGGCTTAGGGTTTACGGGGCTTTGAGGGATGCTAGCGCTGCACCCCCCCCCCAAAGACACTCCTATGATACGGCCCCCGACATTCCCTCAGGATGTTCAGGCAGCCTGTGCTGGAGCCCTGCTTAGAGCCCTGAACCCCTAGCAGGCCCCTAGCAAGAACTGGGGCTCTTGCGTGTTCTGAGAAGCCCCAGAGGCCCTTTTAGGGCTTTAGGGGTTTTAGAGGTTTACGGTTTCAGGGTTTTAGAGGTTTAGGGTCTTAGTGTGTCTAGGGTTTTGATGGTTTTAGGGTTTCAGGGTTTAGGGGCCTGGGGGGGTTGAGGGGTTTTGGGCTTGGGCTAGGTGCTTACATGATTCATTCCCTTTCGGTTCACCTCAGTACTCTTGAGTCTTTACCCTGTCATGAAGGCCTGGAAGCCTGTTGTCTGTAGAGGGTTCACGTACTCCGGTACTTTGGGGTTTCAGTGTGAGAGCAGGATGGCGCGACGCTGAGTGCGGTGGTCCGCAAGGTCACGCAGGGTGGGGGGACTTAGCCTCAATTGGACACAACAACCCTCGTACGGAAGTAAGCCGGCAATGTCGTGTTGAGTGTGAGGATGGCTGAGGGTTTCGTCACCGACATGATGAGCCCCCCACCCGAGCAACCCGAGCAGACCCTGCTGGGGGGCAGGCGCAGCTGGTAGCCACGCGCGCGTCCTTCGCACTGCTGCGCAAGGAAGGAACTGTAGCTTGGCAGGGGGGCTCGGGGTTAGCTACATGGGCAGAGCTGGGGGTAGTGGTACCCTCATGGGTGGAGGGGTTCAGGTGTTTATCGGGGCCAGGTTTTCGGCTCGGGCCTTTCAAGGTTGCTGGGCTAAGTTTGCTTCAGGCTTCATTCAAATGCAGTTGAAACTTGGAGGTTTCACCTCAAGCGCAACCCGATGTCCCTCAACCCTCGACCCGTAGGTTGCAGGGTCTTCGGGCCGAGGTTTCCGGCCAGATGAATCACTAAAGGCGCCCGTTTCTATTCCTCGGTGGGGAACTTGGCTTCCCTCAACCCTAAACCCATCTGAAGCCCTGGAGGCCCTAAAGCGACTCAAGGCCTAAAAGCTCAAAGCATAGGGCTTCAGACTTCCGATTCGGTCAGTGCCTTCAATTCCAAAACTCGATTTTCCCGCAAATTTGTCAGAGCCGAGTGAGAACCATGGACCTCGCTCAAAATCGCCCGAATCCCGAATTCTTCTGGTTTGGGGTTGGGGGGGGGGGGGCGTGACCCCAGCATATACTTCCACTAAGCTTTGCAAGACCCGAGGTGGTGTCCTGGGGTTCCGCTGCTTGCGTCCAAGCGGACCACCTTCGGGACGTGCAGCGCGTCTCAGGCTCAGGGGCCGCCTTTGCCGCGCTGCTCTCGGAAGGCTCGGTGGTGACCTGGGGTGATCCCCGGTCCGGCGGGGACAGCCGAGCGGTACAAGCGCAGCTCCGAGATGTGAGGGAGATTTTCGCTGCCCGCTTCGCCTTTGCCGCTTTGCTGGCGGACGGATCCGTGGTTACCTGGGGCCATCCAAAGTTCGGTGGCGACAGCAGCGCTGTGAAAGAGCAGCTTTGCAACATACAGCAGGTGCATGGATCTCATCAGGCTTTTACGGCTATCCGGGCAGATGGCTTGGCTGTCATGTGGGGAGTAGCAGCGTGTGGTGATGACTTACACAGCACAGTGAAGGATCAGCTGAGAAACGTTCGGCAGATCCAGGCATCGGCTAGTGCCTTCGCCGCCATCCTGGCTGACGAAACCGTGGTGAGTTGGGGAAACTTGCTGGATGGCGGGGACAGTGGCTCAGTGCAACACAAGCTGAAGCACGTACAGAAGCTCAAAGCCACCCTTCGCGCCTTTGCAGCAATCCTGTCCGACGGTTCGGTGGTGACCTGGGGCAGTGCTCGTCACGGGGGGGACAGCAGCTCCGTGCAGGAGCAGCTGACCGGTGTGCAGGACATCCAAGCTTCCGCCGGCGCCTTCGCTGCCCTCCGCGCGGACGGCTCCGTCGTTTCCTGGGGCTCCCCGGAAATGGGGGGCGACAGCAGCGCCTTGCGCCATGAGCGGCATGAGCGGCATGAGCGGCAAGAGCGGCATGAGGGCACCCACGTGTGCCAGCTCCAAGCCTCGGAGCGTGCCTTTGCGGCCATCCTCGCCGACGGCTCTGTGTGTACCTGGGGTGACAAGTGCTACGGTGCCGACAGCGCCGCCGTGCAAGAGCAGCTTGTTAAGGTGCAGCAAGTCTGTGCCTCGGCAGGGGCCTTCGCGGCCCTCTGTGCAGATGGGCACGTCGTGTCTTGGGGCGCCCCGGACTTCGGCAGTGACAGTAGCCGTGTGCAGGAGCAGCTGAGCACGTCAGACCCGGCCGAGGCAGCTGAGAGTCAAAGTCAAAGTCATCAGTGCTTTTGCGGGGGGTTGCGGGTGCTTGCCAGTCGTAGACTCGGGTAGACATGGTCTGGAGGTTTCAAGTCGGTAGCCAGAAGCAGAAAGCAAACTCTACAAGTGGTGATCTTTCCCCTTCCCCGACTCTGCACCCTCCGTAGGCATCCCTGGCGAGGCCCAAGCCCAAAACCTAGGTGTGGAGAGTTTGAAGTGCCGGTTGAAGGTTGCAAGCAGGGCCCCACCTCAAAGGCTTCGCTTCGGGCTTTTGGGGCCCTGATTCCCATGCTCAATACCGAAAGACCCGTCTTAAGGTCTCAGGGTTTGGGCTGAGTCTTAATAGACCCCAAGCCCCAGGAAGCCCCCCAAGCCTCCCTGAACCCATCCAAACCCCTCCCAAAGCCCCACCCCCCCGAAACCCCCCAATCCCCCCGATCCCCCTGAAGAGCTAAACCTCAAAACCCCAAAACCCCAACATAACCCCAAACCCTAAACACCCTACAAACCGGAGCCCCCTAAGCGCCCCCTAAGGGTGCTGAACCCAGGAGTTGTTGGACATGCGCTGCGACCTGGAGCTACAAGCGGCCGCGGGGGGCCTGGCATCAGGGGATGGGCGGGGGAGAGCGAGAGTGGAAAGGGTTTGGGGGGATTTGGGGGGTTTTGGGGGGGTTTTGGGGGATTTTGGGGTTTTGGGGTTTTGGAGTTTTGGGGTTTTAGGGTTTTGGGGTTTTGGGGTTTTGGGGTTTTGGGGTTTTGGGGTTTTGGGGTTTGGGGTTTGGGGTTGGGGGGTTTTGGGGGTTTTGGGGGGTTTGGGGGTTTGGGGTTTGGGGGCTTTGGGTTTCGGGGGTTGTCGGGGTTGTCGGGCTTGTGGGGGTTTTGGGTTTTGGGGCTTTGCGGGTTTCGGGGTTGGGGGTTTAGGGTTCCGGGGCTTGGGGTGCAAGAGTCCATGATAGAACCCCAGACCCCAGAAGCCCTGTAAGCCCATGTAGTGGCAGTCCTCGTCGTTCAGAGGGATAGAGGGGTGTATAGGTGGTGAAGACTTAAGACTTAAGACAAGCGCTGAAGAAGCCTTAAGAGGCCCTCTCCTCCCGGCGGTCCCCGTCGCCTCCGTCCCGTGGGAGGCGGCTCGGCTTTTTCTCATCATAGCCTTTAATCTCTGGTCTTGACAGAGCATTTCGATGGTTTGCGTTTGGTCTTGGTCGGGGCTTTCGCAGGGTATTTTGGAATGATTTGGGCCTCTCGGAGTGGATGTTTACTAAGGCTTGCAGCAAAGTGGCTGAGTGAGGGTTGACGGGGTCGGGGCTCTTGTCAGAAGCATGCTCCAAATGCAGCTGTGAGCCGCGCAGGAGATGTGGCTCGAACCACTTCGCCTGCCCCACTCCTGTGGTGACCCCCCTGAGACAGATTGATGGCGCACACGGCGCGGAAGCGTGACAAAGCTTGGCTCGTGTGGTGTTTCGAGCACTGCACGAAGCCTGAGCACGGCCAGGTACGAAAAGAGCTGAAGGGGATAGCCACGAAGTTCGGGTACCAGTTCAAGTCGCACAAGAAATCCATGGGCTTCCTCAGCTGGCTCGAAGGCAGAAAGGAAAGTATACTTCTCATCGCAGACTGGCGGGAAGCGAAGCCCATCATAGAAGAGCTCAGCAGAAGCAACAACCGTCACGACATTCCAGTGTGCGTTGTCGCACAGACGGAGAAGATGTTTCGTCGCGCATCTCATTTCGCAGGCAAGCATGGGACGGGACCCGAAATTGTGGTGGAATTGGGCTACTCGCACGAGAGCGTGGAGGGGTTGGTCCTCTCTCACCTGCAAGCAGCAGGCGAGACGCCACACGTGGAGATTCCGCCATCGCCCGTGGAGGAGCTGCCCTTCACGAGCTTCATGTCTCTGCCCAGTCTTCTCAACGCCGTCAGGGACCCCAAGATGGCTGCGGTGCTGGAGCAGGTCATTAGGGAAAACATGTGGCAAGTTTATGAGGACTAGCCAAAATTCTAATGATGGAGGAGCTGACTACGGCCTACATTTTCCTGTGTTTAATGTTCGCGGCGTGGTCTTGCCTAAGGCAAGGTTTTTCACTTGTGTTTTGCGCGACTCTTCTTCAATGTTTTTTTTGCGGCGGGTATGCTGGCAGAGTGCATCCCTTGCCGCTGGACTCAGCTGCATCTTCAGCTAGCTTGCAACATCCGCAGTATGCTTGAGCTGAGTCAGTGCTTGTGCTAGTTAGCCCTGCCCGTCATAGATAACGGCCAAGTATTGCTTGGACTTCCGAGGCCCCCTTCTTTCTGAGATCCTAGACACAACATCCTAGGGGAAGTCTGGTCTTCGGGCCTTCGTAATTTGGGGATGAGGCACGTCGAGCCCACAGGCCCCTCATCATAAGGACGAAGGCCGAGGGTGCCATGGAGCCTTGTAACCGTTGAACCCCAAAGCCTTTCAAAGTTACAAACACCCTAAACCCTAAGCCCTAAAACCCGAAACGCTAGACCCTAAACCCTAAAGAAACAAAGCTCCCAAAGACAAAGGCCGCTGTTCTGACATCCAAGATAATCCCCAAGCCCTAAGCCCCAAAACCCTAGTCCCTAAACCCAAACCCTAAGCTTTCGGAACTGCAGGCCCCAAGCCCTGGCAAGCGAAGAGGCATAGCCCGCTGTTGGGCTTTGGCTGCCTGGGGCCTTTAGGGTTTAGGGTTTAAAGGTGCGGGTTAGAGTCAGGGGACTTTGGGGGACTACGGGTTTGGGGTTGTATTGTAGGGTTTGGGGTTCAGGGTTTTAGGGCTGGGGTTCAGGGGGTTCAGGATTTAGGGGTTTAGGAGTCCAAGGGTTAGAAGTTGAGGGCTTTTGGGGTTCAAGGGTTTAGGGGTTTAGCGGTTTAAAGGTGCGACCCTGCTGGCTCGCTAGACTTGTTGGCCTGCCGGATCCTAACCATAAAGCTGGAGGGAATTCAGGTCATGGATGCACATGACAGTTGACTTCACCCTTCCCCACCGACTACATACCCTCGATTTCTTCCCGGAGTGGGTTTAGGGTTTAGGGTTTAAGGGCTTAAGGGCTTAAGGGTTTAAAGGTTTAGACCATCTGGAGAAGCTTGACCAGGACTCACCGGGTGGCCAGACCATGGACTTGAGCCGCCTCAGCTCTACTTAATTTGGGTTTAGGGTTTAGGGTTTAGGGTTTAGGGTTTAGGGTTTAGGGTTTAGGGTTTAGGGTTTAGGGTTTAGGGTTTAGGGACACGACATCAAGGTGACTCGAACTTGCTCGTGATATGCAGTGATGGGCAGCCAGCTGTATCAAAACCCCTAAACCTGAAGACACTGAACCCAGAACCTGTAGCTTCTCGGGGTTTAGGGTTTATAGGGCTCTGGGGAACCCTGAGCCCTGAAGCCTAAACCCTAAACCCTAAACCCTAAACCCGAAAGCCTAAAGCCTAAACCCTAAACCCTAAACCCTACACCCTACACCCTAAACCCTAAATCCTCGGAGCAGGCGCCTCGCGCGCGGTCCGAGGAGCTTGCGCGGCGTAGGCGCGGTGCTGGCCCGCGGGATCCGGTTTGGTTTAAGGCTCTAGGGACTTAGAGTTTAGGGTTTAGGGTTTAGGTTCTAGGGGTTTAGGGGTTGCGTGTGAGGGGCTTAGCGATTTAAGAGGAGGTTTTGGGGCTTTAGGTTTTAGGCCTTAGGGGTTTGTTGGGTTTAGGCTTTAGAATGCTTACGGGCTTTAGGGCTTTTGGGGTCTTCTTTGTCCATCTCTAGGGCTCACTCAATCGGTTTGGGGGGTTTGGGGTTTACGAGCTGTAGGGCTGCCCCCACAACTTGACCGCGTGACTTCAGTACTCTGCTGATTCTCCCTGAAACTAAAGGGTATTAGCCGTAGTGGCTGGTCGTGCTTGGTGGTATCGGGTGTCAGCTGTCAGTGCACGAGCAGCTCGGACGGCCCTATAAACACGAGGCCCCCGTGGTTTGACCCTTAAACCCCCTTAAATCGGATCAAGCTTGAGACTCCCCCGAAAATGAAGCCGGCCGGCTTCTCTGGCAAGGCGGTGGAGCGCCGGTGCCGAGCTCAAGAGGCTGGAGACAGCGCTGCGCCAGATGCAGGCCTGCAAGGGGTTTATGGTTGATGGGCTTAGGATTTAGGGGTTCTGGGTGGATGTTTTGGTGATTGAAGTTTTGGGGTTTCGTGGTCCAGTGTTTGATGTGGGCCAAGCGGAACTTCTGACCTACCGCTCACTTACAACTCTCAGGGGTTTTGAGGCTCTGACTTGCTTCGTACAGCAGTTTGGATTGAATTTTAATAATATCAACCCAGGAAACACCCCACGGTAAACCCAAACGTCTTGCACAGGCCTCCTGGTGGCCTTGCTGGTTGAAACAGGTCGCTAAAGTCGATGCTCTTGCAGCATAAATATTCAATACAGCTGCTCCGGTAGAGCCAATATTGGCAATTGTGGTTGCGTGGGCCTACGCAGCAAGGATGCCTAGAACACGCCCGGGTTGGCGATGTCCGTTTTTACGAAAGGGGCTGCCGAGGCGGGCGAAGGTCAGTCTTGCGAGGGGTAAATTCCTAATTTGACGCCCCAAAACCCAAGCGCCCGACATAGTAAACCTTGTTGTAAGAGTCTGTAGACGAGATTACTGTATGGAGGGTAGATACACGGTGATAGCGAGTGCTGTACAGGGGAACGAACCGCCTAATCCTCAACCCGAACTTGAACCTTACAATCCTTCAACCCAACCCTGTAGATACTGGTTCGAACTAGTTTCCCAAGAAGCTGTAACTACAACACACACTACTCCGCCCAAGACCCAGAAGCCCGAAGGGACTTTCTGGGTCTCAAACATTTAATTTCCAAAGATCCCCAGTTTGGCGACCTCTTACGCACTGCGCCAACGCCAACGCGGGCACCGAGTATTTTCCCTCGCACACCGAGTATTTTCCCCATGTTCAGCACGCATGTTAGAAGCGCATGGCAGCCCTAAAAAAAAACCCTAAGCCCTACGCCCTAAGCCCTGAAACCCCTACATCTCCAAAAGCCCCTAAAGCCCTGACCCCCAAAACCCGTCGCAACCGATCGAGGCGGCCACAGCCCAAGCCTTGGCCGCCTCTGCGCAAGATGCCAAGGTGGCCCGTCGATTTGGGGTTTTTAGGGTTCAGGGTTTAGGGGGGTATGGGGTTTAGAGGGGTTCGGTGTTCAGGGTTTAGGGTTTAGGGGTTGTCAGGGGTTCAGGGTTTAGGGGTTTGGGGGTTCACGGTTTAGGGTTTAGGGGTTCGGGTTTAGGTTTTTAGTTGGGGTGTGGGGTTTGAAGCATGTGGGTGCCGAGGGTTCGATCGGGTCTCAGGATTAAGGGCTTGCGAACGCTTTAAGATTCGAAGGGCCTTTTCCGCCGGATGTAAGGTTAGTGTTTGGAGGGTTTCAGGTTGCAGGGTGTGGGGTTCAAGCTGGGGACGGTGGGCGCCTGAGGGGGTTCAGGCTTAAAACCTTTGCTCAAGGTCCGGGGGCCTGTGGAGTGCGACGGCCGAAGCCCTAAACCCTATCAAAACGACATCCTCAAACCTCAGGGGTTCGGCCCACCATTGGCCGCTCCTCCCGAAACTTGAGAAGATCAGGCAACAACCTGGGATGGTTTTTTCATGCTCCCTGCTGGCTCAGAACCTGAAATCCTAAACCCTCGAAGAGGACTCCGCGCTGCGGGCAGGCCAGTCTTCAGGGTGGGCGTCCTTTAGTGCGTTTGAAGGGCTTACAGGATTTAGGGCTCAAGTGGTTGAGGTTCAGAGAGTAGGGTTTTTGGCTTTTTTTCCTAAAAAAGGCTCTAGGCCAGAGGCATCCTTCAGACCTGAACCCTTCGGGATGGTTACCTCCTTCAACCCCTCAGCCTGAACTCTATACCCTTAAGATCCGACACACTAAGCTCCAACAATTAAAAACCCCTTTGGATCCCCCCCCCCCCCGCTCCGCCATTTGCACACAACTCCCTGGGAGCCAAGGTCGGAACTCTGAACCTGGGAGCTCTAGCCCTAAACCGGTTTAGGATTTAGGGTACTCAAACCCTACACCCTAACCGCTGATGGCCTGGGTTTTGCAGGGGGTTGCTAGCTTGGATGGCATCTGCCTCCCTTCTGCGCCTTTGTCTTGCCGAGGGGTTCAGGGACCCTAGCGGCCCTAAGGCCTAAACCCAGGGTAAGCCGTAAACCCTAGACCATAAACCCTAAGCCCTTGGGTTTTTTCATGAGCCGCTGTTGAGGGCTTGGGGCAGTCCGAGCGCCCGAAAGATCGTCCGAAGAGACCGTCCCGAAAAGCCCGATGCCAGCAGGTCAGTTCGCGGCTGAGGTCCGCTTTCTTTCGGGGTTGTGGGCTTTTGGGCAGTGTGACATGGGGAATTCAGGGTTTTCCATTCTGAGTTTGAGGCTTTAAGGTTTGAGATGATTTGGGTTTGCGCGTTTGACAGCTGTTGGGAGGGCGTTGCTCACGTTGGCTCGGAATCCAACCCACGCAGGCATGGTCCGTTCTTGGGGGCCCTTGGGAGCTGCCCATTTTCCTTCCTGAAAGGCGACCCAGGTGTAGTCATCTATGAGCGTGCTACCCATTACCACCTCCAAAGATAGGAACCAAACCCTCAAGGCTGCCAAGCGCCGAAAACCCTGAAGCTCTAAGTTATGTGAATAATGAGACGCCCTCAGAAAGCCTCAAGTCTTCGGTCAGGAACGCCTCCGCATTCGTCGCGCGGCGGGAGAGGAGGTGCGGGAGGGGTTGAGCGAGAATTTAGGGGTAGTGTATGCTTCAGCTGCTTCAGGGCTTTTCTCAAAGAATGAGGGATCGCGTCGTATTGTTAACAGGGACCCAAGACCTGCGCAGAGGTTCTGCAAGGATGTACAGTGCAGCCTCTCAGCCCCCCGACACGCCATTCAGCCGCTAGGCCCTTGAGGATATGTCGGGTGCAATAAGGGCCTGAGATGTAGATCTCACCGCCCCTGTAAAAAGGAAAAATATAAATGTAGATGGAAATCTTGCTACGTGTGTATATATATATATGCATACATACATATGTTTGTATTTTCTCCACTCCGCCCCCGCGATGGACCAACCTCTACATCAGTTCCTAAGATACAAAATCGCCAACTCAAAAACATCAGCCGTTGTGCTTTTCTAGTCAAATTGTGCCTTTCTCGGATATTAGCGAAAATTCGTCTTCCACCAAGACCTCATTAACGAAAGGTTTGCGCATACTCCTTTGAACACAATTTGTCAGTGTGTTCATAGAGGTAAAAAGGGACACTTCTAGTGTTTTCATATACAGGAAACCTTCTACTCAACGTCGTATCGAAGAAGCTGAGCAGAAGATTCCCATGGCTCTTTCGAAATTGATGATGAAACCGTAGCCTCTAAGCCCGCACTCCAACAGGGCGACGCACCGCGAGTAGGAGCATATCCTTAGCTGTAGGACAACGCCCTCTCCAGAAACCTCAGAGAGACCTGCATTTAGGGTTTGGGGTTGAGGGTTCGGGCCTTGTCGGGTTCTCGCGCCCAGCAAGGGCCAACTGATGCTCATGATGCTCGCCTTGTCGGCCAACCATGCGAAAGAAGCCTGAGCACAAGTGGACTGCAGTAGTCCCGGAGGGCGGCCCACCTCAGGCGCACTGCCACCAGAGATGTTCCCCACTTCCCTACAGCCAGAAGGACAAGTTGCAGACTCGTCGCATGATCATAAGAAACGTACGCCCCAGCAAGCGCTGCCTCCCCTGCTGCGAGGGAGGGTGCTTGTGCTTGACAGCATCACAAACATCCCCCTAACAAGCGCCTCCTGCTGGAGGCAAGGAACAATATAGGCGTCGCACAAGTTACGCGTCCAAGCCTCGCGCAACTCGTGCCGAAGCCTAGGCAGCTGCCCGCCCACCGGCCCCCTCCAAGACACAGAGGATAGTCCTGAAGCGCTCATTCTTCGAGTAGTTGGGGGATGTTAATGTGGTACTAGTAGGGATCTAAGACATCTCATAGATGGTGAACAGACTGTTAGTTAGTATGATTTTATCTAAGAGACAACATTTTTCACGTGATGCATGTTGGCGTTCAGACTTCAATTGCCAAATTGGCACGAGTCCGCTTTGCCGGATATGTCTGTAAGCGCTTTCAGAATTCTGCTAGTGATTCTGCAAACTATGTGTAATTATGTATCATGGTTACATGCATTTACATTGTTTACACACCGTCCGAAGGCGACACGCAGCCGAGAGCTGCAGAAGGAGAACCCAGACTGCTTAGGGTATTCGGGGGCCTTTATGGATTTAGGGTTTTCTAGCGTGTTTGTTTTTTTGGTTCAGGGTCTTCGGGCCTGCAAGGCCTCTTAATGCTCTTCAGCTTTAGGGGTTAGGCTTTCCAGGGCTCAAGGTTTTTAAGGTTTCGGTCTGTCAAGGTTTTTAAGGTTTCGGGTTGAAAGGGTACACATGGGCCCTTATTCTCTCATCCCCTACTAGGGACCAGGGAACCAGGGCCCTAAAAACCCTTTAAAGGGTACATATAGGGTCCTCATTCCCTACCATCCCCTACCAGGGAACCAGGGAACCGACGGGGGGGGGGTTGTGAACCCTAAACCCTAGACCCTAGACCCTAGACCCTAAACCCTAAACCCTAAACCCTAAACCCTAAACCCTAAACCCTAAACCCTAAACCCCTATAAAAAACAATTCACAAGCAGGAGCTCCGGGCCGAAGTGGAGGCCGCCGGCGCGCTGCGCAGCCGCGCCGAGGCGGAGCAGGAGGCCCCCTCCCTGGAGCATGGGATTCGGGGTTTGGGGATTTAGGGGAGTCAGGGATTTAGGGACGTAGAGTTTCGGGTTTAGGGATTTAGGGTTTCGGGTTTTGGGCTTGATGTGTTTCAAGGTGTACTGTTTAGGACCCTAGACCCCAAGCCGCCGGCCAGCTGGCCAGGCGCTCTCCGCGGAGGTCAAGGCAAGGCTGGCAAAGAGATGTGCATGGCTCATGTTTGGCGTTTAGGGTTTAGGGTTTAGGGTTTAGGCGAAAGTTCTAATTCAAGCCTACAAGCCCTAGACCCGGAAGTCCAAGGCCGAGAGCCCCAAACCCTTCACGACGTAGACGCCCGAAATAGTCTCATACTCCAACATGTTTCGCGTGTGCAACCGCGGCAGCATGCTCTCCTCACAATCGTTTCGGCTTGCGAACCAGCTTCTGAGAACAGTTTGGGTTTAAGATTGGGCTCTGGACCCAAATCCGAATCTCTTGTCGTGATTGGACGCGTTCAGACAGCAAGTTGTGGACCCAAAGCAACATCTTCGCAACAGTACGGCGAAGGCCGCGCCTGTGATTTCTATCTTGGCCATGGGATTGTGCTTGTGCAGCCTTCCTCTGGGATGCTGACACCGAAGACATTGTGCGCCCGATGGCCACAGTAGTCGGCAACAGTCGCAACCCCCTTTGAGTCCATGTTGACAATGGCCCGGCTGCGAGCCAGAACGCCCGATGCACACATCTTCAGCATCGCATCGGTTGCAGGGATCCGTGGCTTTGGAGGTCAGAGAAGAACCAAATCACACCCGAAGGCCCTGAAACCCAGACCTCTGAACCCCTTGCGCTCTCAGCCCTTCCCTCACACCCCCCAAGGCCCTTAAAAGGCTTCGATGCCCTTGAGCCCTGAAGCCCATAAACTCCCAACGCCCTAAACTCAAGTCTAATTTCGTGAAGACCCTTCAATTCCAAACTTCCGTAACTCCAAACTCACTAAACCCTGAACCCTGAACCCTGGAACCGTGAAGCCCTGAACCGCAGCCGCAAGAAGGCACAGCGAGAAGAGCTGTCGGCATTGCAGGCGGAATTGAGGCCCTTCGACCCGGTGCCGGCGTTTGGAGAATTACGGAATAGGGGCTAGGGCTTGTGGAGGGGTTTAGAGTTCAGGGTTTGGGGGTTCAGGGTTTAAGGGTTTGGAGTTTAGGTTTTAAAGGTGCGGGAGGTCAGGGGTTAGGGGGGGTTGTGTTGAGGGTTGCGGCCTAGGGCTGAGGGCTTGGGGGTTTAGAATTTCGAGGTTAGGGTTTAAGGTTTGAGGTTTAGGAAGCATTCCGGGCTTAGGTTGGTTTGGAGGGTTTGACTGAAGGGCTGCTTCAGTTACGAGGGCTTTAAGTAGGGCGCTTCTTCTCGATACTTGTTTCCGCTTCTGGGTTTCTATTACGTTCTGACAAGGTATATACTTCTTTTCCAGGGTTGCTGACAAGATCCGGGCGTTTGGGTTGAGGTTTCAGGGTTTGAGGTTTCAGGGTTGCGGGTTTGTTTGGATTCATGGGTTTGGAGAAATTCTTAACACTTGGGGCATAGGCTCTTGAGGTTCTGAAAATCTCCTTGGCAGTAATTGGGGGCAACTGTCCAGTACCTCTGAAGTGTTGTAAGGCGACTGAGGGCCAAGTAATCTTGTTTAGGAGTTAGGTGCTGGTTTAGGGTTTCAGGTTGAGGGCTGCGGGTGAAGGCGACTAGCTACTCTAAACGTGAGACCTTGCTCAGCAACTCTGGGGCAACACATCGCGTCCCTAGCAACAAAGGATGGACTAGGGTCTTTCAAGGGTTGTGCTTCTTTGCAGACATCGACCCCCAAACGGAAGAGGTTCGCTGACTTCTGGGGCGCTGGGGGAACCCAGCAAAGCCTTGAAGCCCGACACCCTAAACCCGAATCCCTAAGCCTCTAAGCCTTTGAGCCATTGTATTAGTTATCGTACAATATACACGAAAAATTGGGTCTTCATCCAAAGTTGCAGGAAAAGCCCGAAGAGCCTGCGCAGCCCTTGTGCAGGTCCCAGCGGCCATCGGCCTCGCCTGCGGCAGGCTGCGCGTGGGGAGGACGTGCGGTTGGGTGCCCTGAGGCTGAAAACTAGGACTTTGCAGCCGAACTTGTTTTTTTATCAGGGTTTTTTTGGTATTGCAGGTTTTGTTGTGCTTTCAAAGGTGTTTTGTTCCTCCTGGCTTGGCCTAGAAGCCCTAAGCCGCTGACTTTTGGGCTTTGGCTTCGTTTAGGTGGCCAGGTCCGGTGCCCATTGCTGCCTCTCCGGAGAAGCGATCCGAAACGCCACACCTTTAATCCTAAACCCTAAACCCTAAATCCTAAACCCTAAACCCTAAAACCTAAATCCTAAACCCTAAGCCCTTAAAGGGTTGAGGGTTTAAGGGGTTTTGTCATTGATAGTCCTGAACTCCCCAAATACCGGTCTTCTCGACAATCCAAGCCCAGCAACGAGCTTAGGGTTTCGGGTTTAAGCTCTCAAGCCCAAGCTAGGGCCCCTGAATCCTAAAAACTAAACTACGCCCCCAACGGGGGTTTCCAAAAAATCGGGGCTTTAAAGGGATTCCATTCTGTTTGGGGTATCAAAGAGTTACCCCTATTTTAGGAAATCCCCAAATCAAGCCTCACGCCTAGAGCCGGGCTCGGGCAGGTCGGCGGTCCACTTGGCGAACGAGCTGGATGCAGGGCCCGGCGGAGGCGTCCGGACCAAAAGCCCTCACAGCCCAGGTTGCTAGACATAAGGCCCTGAAACCCTCACACCCTCAAACCCTCAAACCCTGAAATCCTGAAACCCTGAAACTCTGAAACCCAACAAGTGACCGAAGGGCTTTTGGGTTCCTCCGCCACAAGCTGGGTGGTTAAGAGTCGTTGCGGCTTCGGGGATTTTTAGGGTTTTAGGGTTCGGGGTTCATCAGGGTTTCAGGGTTTCAGGGTTTCAGGGTTTCAGGGTTTAGGGTTGAGGGCTTACGCTCCAGGGTTCAGGGCTCAGGCTTTAGGGTTTAGGCTTGCGTGCTTTTGGGAGTAAAGGATATCAGGAGCGTCGATCCCCTCTTGAAAGAAGCAGCCCTTATGTCTCGGGTTATCGGTTTAAAACAACAGCTTAGGGCTTTTTGAGCTGAGACTTGAAGGCTTCACGGGCTGGTTGGTTCAACAGGCTTGACGGGTTGAGGGTGAGGAGGCGAGGAGAAGGCCTTACGCAGCCGAGGAGCGCTGGAGTCACCGGTCGCTGGTCTTCGCATCCGAGTCTAGACAGTCGCATGCCCCACGGTTCCATTCCGAAACCTTCGTTCTTAAACCCGTAAGCCCCAGAACATAAAGGCCCAGAGCCCTGAACCTGCACCCGAGATTCTGAAACCCTAAACCCCTCGCAACCCCAAGACCCTGAAGCCCCGAAGCCCCAAAGGAGGGCCCGCCATCCGACTTGGCGGAGCGCCTTCGAGACCAGCAGCTCGCGGTGCTGCGGGCGGCGGCCCGGGCGAGCGAAGAGAAACGCCTGGGGTTCGAGTGAGTCCCCTTAAGCCTTAAGCCCCGCGCCTAAACTCTTTAGGGCCTAGGGCTGGGGTTTGTGGATCTTTCTTTCTTTGGGAGAGAGGGGTGACAGGTGGGACAAGCCCTTGGGGTTGAGGGCCTGGGGCGGGCTTAGTGAGCCTTACCCAGATAGAGGTTTAAGTTTGAAACATGAAGCCTTGAGCAACATCAAATATGGCTGTTTGAGTCTTGAGAGCCCTCATTACAAATCTTGGGGATCCAGGCTTTTGCAAAGGGTGGAGGGTTGAGGGTTTTTGGGGTACCGGGGAAATGACACCTTGAGCCCTAAGCCCAGAACCCTGTAGCCCTCCAACCCTCAACCCACTCAGGAGCTGGCTGAGGCCCGGCGGCGCCCTCCATCTGCATACGGGGGGCTGTTCGAAGTCGGGATCGTTTGTTTGTTGTTTTGAAGAGGTTGATCGGCGTAAAATCCTAGCGAAAACCTCAGAACCCAAAAGCCCCAACTTCCCTGAACCCTAAACCCCTACAACCCCCAACACCCCAAACCTCCCAAATCACCCTAAAAAACCCCAAACCCCAAACCCCAAACCCATCAAACCCATCAAACCCATCAAACCCATCAAACCCATCAAACCCATCAAACCCATCAAACCCATCAAACCCATCAAACCCATCAAACCCATCAAACCCCAAACCCATCAAACCCCAAACCCATCAAACCCCAAACCCTAAACCCTATGCGCCCTAGAGCCCTCCTAGAAGCCCAGGCACGTCGGATGCCAGCTCCGACGACGAGAGCGAGGAGCTCTTCGCCTGGGAGCAGGAGCTGCGGAGCCGCCGCTTGGAAGGCATTCTTTTCGGGGGTTTAGGGTTTAGGGTTGGGGGTTTGGGTTTAGGGTTTAGGGTTTGGGGTTTAGGGTTTGGGGTTTTGGGTTTGGGGTTTAGGGTTTGGGGTTTTGGGTTTGGGGTTTAGGGCATCCCCTTTTTTTATAGGGGGCACCCAAACACCCCAATGGTATATGTGATTTTTTGGAGACCCCTTAGTAGGCCCGTTTTCGGGGGCTTTAGGGCTTCGATATGGTTTAGGGAGTTGCGGTTTAGGGGTTCAGGGGTTTAGGGCCGTTTTGGGGTTTGAGGGTTCAGGTCAGGGGTTTAGGGGTTCAGGAGTTTTACGGTTTCGGCTTCAGGGGTTCGGGGCTTCGGCGGTTTAGGGGTTGGGGGGCTCCGGGATTTGGGGGTTTCGGGGGGGTTTGGGGGGGGGGGGGGGTTCTAGGGTGTTTGGGGATGAGGGGAGTTTAGGGTTCCAGGAGGGGGGGAGGTTGATATGTTTTGGGGGCTTAGGGATTTTGGGACCCTCGGCTTCAGGCTTCATCGGAGGATGGGCTCTTGTTCGTGTTCTTGTTTGCTACTGCTTTGGCACTTCAAATTATTACAGCCATGGCTGTTCTTGTGATGATGGTTGTGATATTGAGCATTACTCGCTTGTCTTTGCTGACCACAGCGCCCCAAGCCACCTCAACAACCGTCTGAAACCTACGCCCTAAGCCCCCGATACCAATCCTGAACCTTAAACCCTAAACCCCCAAACCCTAAACCCTAAAGACCTTACAGAAGCCTGCCCGAACTGTGAAGCCAAGGCCTCGAAGAGGCCGCTTCCCGCCGCGGTGTGCAGCTGGACCTTCAGACTCTGGCGCCCTTGGCCTCGGATTGAGGGCTTGCAGGATCAGAGGGCTGTTTAGGGCTGTTTAGGGGCGTGTTCTTAGGGTGTTTAGAGGTGTTTGGGGGGGTTTGGGGGTGTTTAGGGGTGTTTCGGAGTGTTTAGGGGTGCTTAGGGGTGTTGAGGCGTGTTTAGGCATGTTTAAGCGTGTTTCGGCTTTGGGTTATACACGAAGTCTTGTCCCAGAATGGCCCCCTAAAAACAGCCGCAAAGTCCGTTGTAAGGGGGGGTTTTCCCCTTTAGTCTTCAGTGGCATAGTGGCATAGAGAGAAATTCAGCAACTCAAGGGGCCCATGGGGCTTTGCAGGGCTTCGCCCCCCCACGAAACCTCCCTGCCCAAGCCCTGAGGCTTAAAAACCCTAAACCCACGACCCTAAAACCCTAAACCCTAAATCCTAAGCCCTAAGCCCTAAGCCCTAAACCCTAAACCCTAAACCCTAAACCCTAAACCCAAAACCTGCCAGGAAACCCACTTGGCGGCAGGCCTGCGTTTTGGCGAGGCCCTGGTGCGGGGGGGGTCAGGGTTTGGGGGGATTACAGGTGGCAAGCCTCAAACCCTCATCTCGAATTCAACCCGAGGCTGCAAAAGCTTTTTATTAACTCTCCGAGTCCGAACCCAGAACTGTGCCCAGACCTAAGCCCCAAAACCCCCATCCAGACAGATCTCTCGCCCACTTCCCAAAACTCTGGGCGAGGTTTGGAATTCGTTGCTCCGCGAGGTTTAGAGTTCCAGTCCTCACGACCTAAAGCCAGTAAAAGGTCGAAGCCCTGCGCTCAAAATCCACACAAAAATCCTAGATCCATGCGCCTACAAGACCCGCAATGGTACTTCTCAGTTAGTTCGTGTGCACCTAATCTGAAAGTCAGAAAATGCACGAACAAAAGCTTCGGTCTTGGTAAACCTCCACAGCCGAACCCCGGCGCCCCAAAAACCGGAGCCGCTGGCGAGGCGGACTTTGCCGACGCCGCGGCGGCAGCCGAGGCGCTCGAGACGGCTACTGCCGGGGTGCTCAGTGCTCACAGGCTTAAGAAATCCCATATGTTAGGTTCCCACTAAAGTCGGTTTCCTCTTTATGGCCTAATACGGTTACGGTATCCCAAACGTGTGCGTGACCCGCGTCATGTGCTGTGAGCGATGGAGGCTTGGACAGCGTTCATCTAACATGTTTGTGCGAAGGGGGGTATACCGAGTGAACATGTAAGATTGAAGGGTGTTTTTTTTCGGCAGATCTTTCTGATGATGTGGGCGCCTGTATTTGGCCAGAAAAAATGGCCAGGGCACGGCGGAATGCCTTGCACACGTTCAGGCCATACTAGTACAATAATGTGAAAACTGGTTGTACAAAAATGTACTAGCATAATTTAATAAGACAACTTCTAGGTACAACTTCTTCTCAGCTGTGTCGCAGTCTACACTCCTTTTTGAGAGAGCTGCGCTGCCAAGCATCTTCACGAAAGTTGTGCCCCCCCCTCCCCCCCCCCCCCCCCCAAAGGGGGGCGGGGGGAAGGCTTGGAAGAATTACAAGGGCAACTTCCTTTTGGGGTCCCTGTCGAAGTATGGCATCTCAGGGTGCGTACTCCAACGGGACCGTGTCTTAGTGAACTGAATCCTGAACCCTAAGTACCTTGAACCCTAAACCCTGAACCCTGGACCTTGAACCTTAATGGCTTCATGAAAGCCTCTCTCAGAGGCCCTCCTCGACGCCTTCAGCGTGGCGCTCGAAGTGTCGCTCCCCGCGCCGAGGGGTGGTGAGGCCGGAGCATAGGGTTTTGGGGTTTGTAGGTTTTGTAAGGGTGATTTGGGCTTTTGGGGTTTGTAGGGTTTGTAGGGTTTGTAAGGTTTTGTAAGGGTTTGTAAGGGTTTGTAAGGGTTTGTAGGGTTTGTAGGGTTTATAGGGTTTAGGTAAAGCCTAAAGCTCTGACTACTGCACCACGCCCCCAAACCTCCAAATCCTACGCCGAACACCCCAAACCTGCCGCAAACACCCTGAACCACTATCCTAGAGCCCACAAACCCTCCGAAAGGCCACAAACCCCAAACCCCACCCAAAAAACCTCAAAGCCCCCAAACCCCAAACCCTCAAACAGTCGCCATATGCAGGTGGCACGGAGCGTGCGCATCCGCAAGCTCCAAGAGGCTCGTTTGTAATCAGGCTTGTACGGGATTTAGCCAAGTGGAAATGCCTTAGCATGAGGGGCGTGAGGGAGTGAACGGGCTTTCACCCTGCGTGGATGCCCACCGAGAAAGTCAAAGGAGATGTGCTGCCTTTTCTGGCTGGACATAGGCAACAGGCCTCTACGTTTCATCGCTCGGGTGCGATGCACTCTTGATCTCTGGAGAGGATGCTGGGGGGAAGCTCTGAGAAGAGTGGAATGGCTCAGTCCACACAATGTCTCTTACGCCAATCCGCCCTCCTGACCCGCCTCCCTTTGAGGCCCAGTTAAACGGACGGCTTCCGTCGGCAGGTACTCACGCTGACCTGAGGATATCTTGGGAGCTGACTTCATTTTGCCTCGTTGCGTGCCTGTTGTCTGGAACCAAAACTGTCGCCCTCAAACAGTTCGCGCTTGGGTTCTGAGCATTTCATGGCCCTGTTTTTTTTTCGGACGGGCATTTCAGCGTTTCCCACAGAGGAGATGGGTGGAGATGTGGCCTCACTTCTGTTTTTGGTCTTTTTGGTGCGCTGCACCGTTTTCGAGCCATTTCGACTTATAAGCCGAAGAGGGGGAGCTTAGCTGTCAGAGAGTCAGATGGGGCTTGATCATCTTACAGGGCTTAGAGGGCTTGGTAGGGTTCAGGGTTGGGGGGTTCAGGGTTTTGCTTTGCAGGCTGCGGCCAAGCATGGCATTGACTCCACTCGGCTGGTCGTCAAAGAGTGGCCTGTCCGCCTGTCCGCGACGGGGGGGGGGGGGGGGGGGGGGGGTTGGTGAACTTGGGTTTGTGCAGATGCTGTGCTTTCCTGGCGGGGGGGGGGTTCAGCATTCAGGGCATTAGTTTGTTCGACCCATGGCCCTCGTATGAGGGTTTCCAACACCAAAGGCCCAACTTAGAGAGCTGACCATTTCGCTTTGTCCAGGTCTCTGAACTCCTAGCCTCCCCCCCCCCCCCACCACCATGACACCGAATCCTTCAGATCCCTTAAAAACATCTTAAAACCCCTGAAGCCCCGCTACCGACACCCTAAATCCTAAATCCTAAGGTTCTAAACCCTTAAGCCCCTCTCCATAAAACTCCAAGGCAGCAGGGTGAGGCCCGAGAGCGCGCGACTGTGCGGCTAATCTTCCGCGAGCCCAAGGCTGGGACTTGTGGGGTTTAGGGGGCTTGAACGAGGGAGGGTTCTGTTTGGAGCTGGTAGCTTTTGCAGAAGAGTTGTACCATTCTACTCTAGCCAGGATGAGAGATGACCGTAGGAGGGCAAAGGGCTGTCTGTTGTTTATATCATGCATACCTGTTGTGGGTTTAGGGTGGGGGTTGCGAGTTGTAGCATCGCAGCGCTTAGAGTTCGGAGGGTTCAAGGTTTTGGCAGCTTGGGTTCGAGCTGCAGCGTTTGGGCTTGAAGTTTTGGGCAAAGAGAAGCAAGCCTGATAGGGGCGTCACTTGCAAGTGGGGCTAACAAGATCGGCTACACTATAACCCTAAACCCTAGACCCTAAACCCTAAACACTAGACCCTAGACCCTAAACCCTAAACCCTAGTCAACGCTAAACCCTAAACCAGAGGCTGTCCGCGCGGCACCTGCCGATGCCCGGGGCCCGGGATCACGTTGTGAGGCCTCGTAGCTCGATCTTTACTGGTTGGTGCCAAGTGCTCTCTTTGAACCGGTTTAGGGTTTAGGGTTTAGGGTGATATTACTGGTTGAGTATGCAATGTCTACCAGGTTTTTTCACAGGGCCGGGTTTGGTGTCTGGAGAGGGGGGCTGTGCTTGGGATGGCTTTGGGGTTTACGAAGTTAGGGCTTAGGGTTTCAAGGGTGGGGTCTACAGGGTTTAGGGATTAAGGGTTTCAGAATTTGGGGTTTAGGAAAGAGCGTAAGGTCTTAAGGGTCTGGGGGTATCACACAGAGTGTTGAGGGTCTGAGGGATGTGACAGAGTCCGCCATGAACAAGACAAACCCCTGTACAGTCCTAAGCCCTGAAAGCTGGAAGGGCTCGGGGCTTCTCTTCAGGCCTTTCGCGGGCTAAATTTGGCACCCTAAACCCGAAACCCTAAACCCTAAACCCTAAACCCTAAACACCCTAAACACCCTAAACACCCTAAACACCCTAAACCCTAAAGAACCCCTTCAAAGAGCACCAGCTTCAGGCTGCGAGGCCCTCGCGAAGCTGGCGCCTCTCCTGGGCGCAAGGGGCGTAGGTGCCGAGCCACCGGGTTGAGGGTCTGGGGGTTGAGTTTAGAGGGTATAGGGTTTAGGGTTGAGGGTTGAGGGTTTAGGGTTTAGGGCGAGGGAAGTTACATGGTCCCTTACCTTCTTTGGCCCTGGGGCAGGGATTTCAGGGTTTAGGAATTTAGGGTGTGGGGTGTAGGGGGTGCTTGGGATTTTGTGTTTAAGGCTTTAGGTTTAGGACGCATTGGTGGTTGAACTTAAGTCTTTATGGTTTAGGGCAGACTTGGGGTTGAGTTGTTTTGGGCCCCTATGAGGGGGGTGGTTCTTAAAGTCCCACCCTTTTTAGAGAGGATGCCCCCCAACAGCCACTGAAAGCCTGATCTCCTCCACCTCTAAACCCACAGATCTCCTCCACCTCTAAACCCACAGAACGCTCGCCCTAAAACCCTTGTGTTCAGGGCGTACGTGTTGGGATTCAGGGATCAGGGTTAAGGGGCTTACAGTTTGGGTGATAAGGTGTAACATTCGGGTTTAGGGTTTAGGCTTAAGGCTTGTAGGTTCTGGTGCTTGGTTTATGGTCCAAATAAAACGGCTTAGTTTCAGTCAAGCTGTTGAGGGCTCACGCTTGAGTGGCTGGGTGCAGTGCGTGGATTTCTCCCGGCCGGAGGTACGGATTCCATCGTGCCGAGATGGTGCCCGGGCATGCGTGTACATAGGCAGTATGGTGTTTCTCGACTGGCTGGAACGTCCAAGTCCCTCAATCCCAAATAGTTCTTGACCCTAGATCTCCCAGTGACCCCTTTTTCCTTGTGTGGGGGGGGGGGGGAGTCCTTATACTTCTTGTTTCCCTGTTTTGGGAGTCCTACAACTTGTAAATATACAATACAAACCTGAAAAGGGAGCCCTTTTTGGATCCTTGGATACTGGAGATCCCAGTTTATGAGAAACGTCGACCTCAGCGAGCACGAAGCGGTGCTTGCGGCATGCGCCGTGTGCCACCTCGCCCGAAGGCTTCCTTGGAATTCCAGATCTCTGGTTTACGGGTGTATGGTGGGGTTTCGGGTTTGTGGGTTTGGGGGGTTTATCGGGTTGTGGCTCTGAAGCTCCGAAACCGTGAGCTGAAGCAGCGACGTTAATGCCTTGTCTTGAGCGCCGAGAGGCCGAAAGAGCTGGGCTTCCTAAGAGCCCAAACCCTGAAGCTCAAGCCCGCAGATGTCCTTAAAGCCCTGAAACCTGAAAACCCCCCCCCCCCCCCCCCCCAAAGCCAAAAACACTAAGCTCCCCAGATGTTCGACCTGGAGGTCCAGAGACCCTAGGCCCAATCTTAAACCCTAAGCCTTAAACCCAGGCCTCCACCCCCTGTGCTGAGGCTGGGTAACTGGTCCCGAGGGCTTTAGCCGCCGAATCAAAGCCTTCTCTACACCGGCGAGCCCGAAAACTTAACCCGCAGAGCATCCAAAGCCTCTAGACTTCTCCCTGAACCCTGCCCAACCCTGTTTAACCCTGGAGGCCCTGGAGGCACTAGCCCCAAACCCTGCAGACCCTAAACCCCTAACCCGTCAGTCCCGAAACTTTGGAGATGCCCTCCCTGGATTGAAACCATGTGCGCGACTGGTTGTTGTTGTTCGTGCTGCCGGGGTTCATTGTTTTGGTGAGCATTCTTAGGGTTTAAGGGTGAGGGTTTAGTGTTGCCATTTTTTGGGGTTGTCTTGAGCCTACTTCCGCGAAGCTCTTGCTCAGAAGGGTACGTAACATGAGGTGCCAGACGACACAACATCTTGGGCACCTGCAACCATGTGCAAGGTAGCTTATCAGAAGCTAGACTCCACAAAGGACCGCAAGAGCCAAAGACGAAGGCTGACATAAGCGACGGCAAACCGGGTTACAAGCCCTTAAAGGTTGGGAAAACCCCAGACCCAGACCAAGCCCCAAGCCCAAACCCCTATGGGCCCGTTCCCTTTCTTTGGGGATCTTCGGTTAGGTTCGTAGAGATCCCAGCTTTGGCGCCAATGCCAACAAACCGAAGTCGCGAAGATGCGCTGCGAGCAGCCGGGGACTTCGCTTCCAAGGCACACCCTAAAGCCTTTCTATCTCTCTATCTATCTATCTATCTATATATCTATATATATATATATATATATATATATATTTGCTCACCCCCCCCCAATGGACCCACCGCGGATGGCAGCCGAGTCCTAGCCAGATCAAGGCAAAAAACAAAAAAACAAGAAACTAACAAAAACCAACAAACCAAAAAAATCCAAAAAACCAAAAAAACCAAAAAAACCAAAAAAACCATCTTTTCCAAAACTATGGGGCTGGGGCCTCCAAAAGATGGTTTTTTTTGTTTTCTCGAGAAAAAGATGGTTTTTTTGGTTCGAAACCATCTTTTTCTCGAGAAAAAGATGGTTTTTGAGCAGCCGCTCTTCTAAAAACCATCTTTTTCTCGAGAAAAAGATGGTTTTACCAGGACAAGACCTCCAAAAACCATCTTTTTCTCGAGAAAAAGATGGTTTTACCAGGACAAGACCTCCAAAAACCATCTTTTTCTCGAGAAAAAGATGGTTTTTCCAGGACAAGATCTCCAAAAACCATCTTTTTCTCGAGAAAAAGATGGTTTTTCGAAGAGCGGCTGCTCAAAAACCATCTTTTTCTCGAGAAAAAGATGGTTTCGAACCAAAAAAACCATCTTTTTCTCGAGAAAACCAAAAAAACCATCTCTTGAAGGCCCCAGCCCCATAGTTTTGGAAAAGATGGTTTTTTTGGTTTTTTTGGTTTTCTCGAGAAAAAGATGGTTTTTTGGTTCGAAACCATCTTTTTCTCGAGAAAAAGATTGTTTTGAGCAACCATCCTTCGAAAAAACCATCTTTTTCTCGAGAAAAAGATGGTTTTACCAGGAGAAGACCTCCAAAAACCATCTTTTTCTCGAGAAAAAGATGGTTTTACCAGGACAAGACCTCCGGAAACCATCTTTTTCTCGAGAAAAAGATGGTTTTTCCAGGGTAAGATCTCTAAAAACCATCTTTTTCTCGAGAAAAAGATGGTTTTTCGAAGAGCGGCTGCTCAAAAACCATCTTCTTCTCGAGAAAAAGATGGTTTCGAACCAAAAAAACCATCTTTTTCTCGAGAAAACCAAAAAAACCATCTTTTGGAGGCCCCAGCCCCATAGTTTTGGAAAAGATGGTTTTTTTGGTTTTTTTGGTTTTTTTGGTTTTTTTGGTTTTTTGGTTTTTTTTGGTTTTCTCGAGAAAAAGATGGTTAAGTTTTAGGGGTTTAAGCCTCATGCACTACAGGGTTATAAGGTTCTAATCCTATAGGTATTGCCTTAACCTTTAACCCTAAACCTTTAACTTTAAACCCTGCAGGGTTAACCCCGTGAGAAATTTAGAGATAGACCCCGAAAAGACCCTAAACCTTCTTACAGGGTGTAATGGTTTAAAAACCGATAGGACATGTATACCTTCAGCGCCTGTAGGGTTCAAGCCTTTGAACGTGCTAGACCCCTATAGGGTGCTAAGGTTCTGACCCTAAAGGGTTTAGGATTAAGGCTTAAATGCCCTCTAGGTTTAAATGCCTAAGTCTTAAACCCCAAACCTTTAAACCTTCATCCTATGGGGTTTGAAGGTCAAGGGTTTAGGCTTGATTGCCGAGGGCTTTAGGGTCCTGACCCTAGAGGGTTTAGGGTTAAGGAATAGATGCGTAAACCTTAAACCCTTAAGGTTTAAACTCTATGGGCTTAGGGGGCTTAGGTTTTTTTAAACCCTAAGCCTTTAAACCTTCACACTACAGAGTTTAGAGGTGTTAAGGGTGACAAATTGATTACATACTTAGCTTTAAATGCCTGAATCTTAAACCCCAAACCTTTAAACCTTAACCCTATAGGGTTTAAAGGTTAAGGGCTTAGTGTTAATCGCTGTCTTAGGTTTAAATGTCTGAATCTTAAACCCTAAAACTTTAAACCTTCACCCTATAGGGTTTAAAGGTTAAGGGTTTAGGTTGAATCGTCAGCTTGGATTTAAATGTCTAAGTAAAGAATCCTAAACCTTTAAATCTCATCCCTATGGGGTTTAAGGTTAAGGGTTCAATATGAACTGCCGGCATAGGTCTAAATACCTAAACCTTAAACTTAAACCCTAAACCTTTAAATATCTTAACCCTATAGGGTTTAAAGGTTAGAGGCTTAGCGTAAATTGCCGGAATAGGTTTAAATGCCTAAATCTTAAGCCCGAAACCTTTAAACCTTAGCCCAACAGGGTTTAAAGGTTAAGGGTTTAAAATTAGTTGCAGGCTTAATTAGGTTTACATTCCTACATCTTATATCCTAAACCTTTAAAAATCTTAACCCTATAGGGTTTAAAGGTTAAGGGCTTGGCTGCAGGTTTAAATGGCTAAATATTAAACCCTAAGCCTCTAAACTTTAACCCTACAGGGTTTAAAGGTTAAGGGTTTAAAATTAGTTGCAGGCTTAGGTTTAAATGCCTACATCTTAAACCCTAAACCTGTAAAAATCTCAACCCGATAGAATTTAAAGGTTAAGGGCTTAGCTTTAATTACCGGCATAGGTTCAAATGCCTAAATCTTAAACCCTTAACCTTTAAACCTTAACCCTACAGGGTTTAAAGGTTAAGGTTTTTTTTTTTGCAGGCTTAGGTTTAAATGCCTAGATCTTAAATTATAAACAAAAGCCAACAGAAAGAAAAACCCTCCGTGCGTGTGTGAGAGGGTGAATTAAGGAATACAGTCAAAAATCCGGTCACCGGAAAATCACCAGACAGCATAGGTTTTATCGGTATTTGCGGTACTTTTGCAAAGATCAAGGCCCGCGGTGGGTCCATTGGGGGGGCGTGACCATATATTTATATGTATATGTATATATATATATATATGTAAATGTATTATTATATACTAAATCATATAGTTATTCGTTGTATGTATATGTAGATGTATACATCTATATATCGCACTCTAAAACCAAAAAGCCTATCTCCCGTGGCTTCACTGAGTCAGGGCTCCGGCTCCAGGGGGTTTGGGGGTTGAGCGGCTGTGGAGTTTGGGGTCTCTTCAGGGTCTTGTTTTGTGGGTGCTGATTTACATATTGGCGGGTTCAGAAGATTAGGCGTACCCTTTTGGGGGTATATAATATACATAAAAATAATAAAATAATAATGATAATGATAATAAGAATAAGCATCAAAATAATAATAATAAAATAAAACTGTACAAATTTGGGAAATGCCCATGCAAGATGCTAGGGACTAAAGGAGGGACTCTTACAAGGGGTTTTAGGGGTAATGTAGGCGCTACTTCGGTACATAGGGGATCATCAAACAAAGAATAAGGGTCCCGTCTCATAGGCCCCTTCTTATACCCAAAAGCGATGCTCGGGCCCATCTGGTATGGAGTGTGACTGCACGAAGCAGACTGGACGTCGCAGAACCGAAGTGGGAACCTTACAAACCATATGGGCCTTCAGCAGCTCGGTAAGGGCTCAGGGTTTAAGGTTCATATAAGTTGCAGGTTTTCTAGGATCCGCAGCGCTAGGTTTTTAGCAAGAATCATTTCGAAGGTAAGCCGGGAAGTGTTTTGTTGGTCGTTTTGCGGGCATCGCAGCCCGCAGATTGAAGCTCATTGGGCTCACATAGAAGCTTAGCCTGAACATCCCCAATACACTCACGTCTTAACGCCTGCGCCCTCAGCCCCTAGCCCACTCAAACCCTAATGCCTCAGCCCTACATCCGACGCTTGTGGCCAGGCCGGCTCTCAACAGGCAGCGCCCCTTCTGCCCACTGCCGAGCTACGGCAGCGCCTCCCGGCATGAAGCTGGCAGGGGGCAGGAGGGCGGGGTGGGGGGGGCGGGGGAACTCAAAGCTGCCTGAGGGTTTAGGTTTCATAGGGTGTCTTTGGTGAAGAAAAGTCTGGTGCAGGCAGGGGGAGAGGCGAAGGGTTTTAGGGAAGAGAGGCGGGTTTTAGGTCAACCCCGCTCTCAATCCTAACCGCAACGACGCGAGATCTTCAGTTCACTGGCTGAGGACTTGAGAAGGGCGAGAACGTGGCGGCTCAGCTATTGGATGATCTTGCTGGATGATCCTGAAGCTTGTAAAGCCGAATGCATCGACGCTAATCCCTAAGCTCTAAGTGTCGAGGCCGGGGTGTTCCCGAAAGCATGCTGGGATTTGATTTCAAGTCGTCGCCGTCGAAGTTCAGTTGCAGCAGAAGCAGCCAGAGTGCTTCTACGCCCTAGCCCGCGAAGCTTTCTCATACCTTACTGTAGGGCACCCGTGCCACCTATGCCACCCGTGCGTTCAAGCCGCGCACCCGAATCCTGGATCCCAGCTTCCTGCCGATGTCCGCACATAGCCGCAAACCCCCGCTTCATCCCCAAACTCCCCGACCCTCCCTCCCTGTGTATAACCCCTTACTTACTCTCTAAGGCCCTATACCCAGATCCCTAAATACCCTCCTACACGCCAAAAAACCCAAAAAACGCGGGCTGTTTGGACCTGCAGGTCCTGGTAGACGTCCGGTGCAAGGAGGTGCGGCCGAATTCTTCGTTCTTATTGGTTGTTTCTCAGTAGTGGCTTCCGGAAAGGTAATTATCCGTAAAGGGTTATTTAGGGTTTTTTTTTGGGTGCCGAACTCCCAAATCCTCCATCTTGCCCACCAAGCTTTAGCGAGCTGGGGCTCTTTTTTTGATTCATTTTTTCCTTGGGGTGGGGGGTGGGGGTGGGTTTTAAGCGAAGGGCGTAACATCGAGGCCTTGCTGGTTTACGCCGCCAATAGGAGCGTGGTTGGATTTAGTACACTAAGCCCCGTCGGGGTGTCGGTTCCGAACATAGGTGTTGCCTGCCTGGCCCAGCCGACCGTGATTTTCAACTTTCAGGCGTTCGGAACGGCTGTCTGTGTGAACCCCCCCCCCCCCAGGCGTCTAAACCTTAAGGCATGCTGTTTAGGGGTTGGGGTTGTCAGGAGATGGACGTGTCCATGATCCCCGGCTCGGTGACAAAGGCCCGGTTTTTGTGGCCTAGGCTCATGTTAATTTGATAGGCCATTACTATTTTGATTGCTGTTATTGTTTTTTCTTGACCACGATGTGCCGATAGGAATTAGGATTGTAGGGTCAGAGTTTTCACATCCCGCACCCCTGGTGTGAGGGTCCAGGGAAACAAAGCCTCGCCTCAGCAGTCGGCACATCGCCAGCCTTCTGGTTCTTTCAAGGTCACTCGCAGAGGGTTTGGTTTAGGCTTTAGGCTTTGGGCTTTATTTAGGGTTTTGGGTTTAGGGTTTAGGGTTTAGGGTTAGGGTTTAGGGTTTAGGATTTTAGGGTTTAGGATTTTCTCAGGGGCCCGGTTTCGTTGCAAATGCCACAACTGGAAGCCATCCTTGTTCTTCCCCTAGGGCGGGGAGCCCGGACCAAACCCCAAATCCTAAAAGCCCTAAAACCCTCCAAACCCCCAAACGAGGAGCACTTCGAGTCCCAGCTCCTTCCTGGGCTGCGTGCTGCAGATCCGCAGCCTCTGGTGGCGGCTCGCTGCTTCTGTTTTTGTCTAGTTATTCTTCTTGTTATGTCAACGAGTATCAGTTCCAGCGCTAGCATTCGTATTCGTCTTAGTCTTGGTGTTGGTGAGAGTGTTCGCGTTTGCGTTTGTTTTCGCAGAGGTCATAGTCTCAGTCTCAGTATAAGTATGAGGATTGGCTTCAGTATTGAGTCAGTCACTGGAATGCAAATAGCTAATGAATCTTAGAATCGTCCGCAGAGTAATTTACCAGTACGCTTTATGGTAGTCATTATTCCTGTTATTCTGGTTCTGATCTTCTCACTTTGGTGGCGGTGGAAGCCGGGTAGAGGGATTCGGATGAACCCTTTGGCGCTTCTTTGCATCCCGGAGGTTTTGCTTATTTGCTTTGCGCGGGAGAGACTTTAAAGGTTTGTCTGGATGTTCGTCTTGCATAAGGTCGCACCTGGGCGAGGCGTTTGTCAGAAAAATCAGAAGGCGCCGTAAATCCTACACCCTATGGACGACAGGATGTTGAGGCCCCCTTCACTCGGCTGCCCCAAGCCCCAAACCCTAAACCTTGCTACAATAGGAGGTTCCATTCTAAAACCACCACAAGCGCCAAAGACGGAGCTTTCTTCGTTGGGTTACTGAGTTGGGGTACGGTGGCCCCAAGGTTCCTTACTGCACCGTGGGCTACCGATCTGGTGTCTACGCGAAGGCAGTCGCGGCGTGGGCTTTTGGGAAGCCCAGGAATCAAGACCCCTGAGTCCATTTTGTAAAAGTGAGGCCCTGAACCCTACAAAAGCCTCAAGCTCAAAACGTAAACTCTATGACGCCTTGGCGCCCTGTGATGCCATCCAGCTACTAGTGTAAAACCGACTGCCGAGGGTTTAGGCTCAGGGCTTAGCCATGTCGTACCTTTGTGGGGGGGGGGGGGGGTCCTAGATGGGACTCTAGTAAGTCATGTGTTTTGGGGTATGCTGCGGAGTCTTACTTTACGAAGTGTCACAGTTTTGGAGTTTTTTCGGGGTAGAATGGGGGGTTTCTTTGGGTTCGGCTGGCATGCCTTTCTCTTTCTGGACGCAGGCGCTGGGCAATGCCCTTCAACCTCTGCACCTTCAAGACACTGAACCCTAAACCCCGAATGCTAAACTCGAAATCCTGAACCCGAAGGCTTGAACTCGAAACCCTATCACACCCTCGAGACGTCACAACGCAGGAGCTCATGAACAAGCATGGACTGCAAAACGTGCGCAACGGCGAGGGTGTGGTCGCGGTCTCAGCCCGTATACACCACGCACCCGAAACCTGAACTTAGGTTGGTCCCCCTTGTAGTAGAAACAGTCACCGCAACAGTTCATAGTAGCTATGGCACCCCCCCGCCCGCCCCCCGAGCCCATCGAGTCCCAGAGGGTTTCTGTGAAGGGCTTTCTGTGGTTTGACTCGGAGCTCTTGCATATAGGAATCCCCAGGATACCTACGTGCAGGGGGGTCGTGTGCAAGAGGCATAGGAGAGGGGGTCCGGTTCCAATACAGGGTCTAGAAACATGCAGCACGCCGCAGCAATTCTCGGACAATGCACCATGTAGATAGACAGGGTACTTTGTAAGGCTGTGGAGGGTCTGGAGGTGGTGCAGAGCCGTGCAGAGGGGGTCCATCCTACCTATACGTACCCATGACCCCCTGAAGCCCCAAGCCCCATAGCCGCCGAGATCATGTGGACCTTCGATGGTAGCGGCCTGGTCCGTCCGGCACCGGGTGCACCAGGGACGGCTGGGGTGCCCAGTAAAGGAGATGAAAACTCAACATGGTCCCAAGTCCTAAACCCCAACACCTCAGAACCCCAAAAGCCCAACAGCCTAGAGCCTTAAAATCTCAAAGCCTTAAAATGTGGTGGGATCGGGGGTTGCTTAAAGGTTACCTTGATAATGGCAACCGCTTCACGCAAGCGCCTGAAAGGAACCCGAACGCACGAGGAAGGGCTTAGCCGGCTCTTCGGTGTCAGGGGGGGCTCTTAGGTAAAGGTGTCAAGATGGGAGCAAGGAGGGACAGAGGCAAAAAGGCCTGGTAGAAGAACCGCACGTCAACCCTTCCCCACACACCCCTGGAGCCTAATCCCCCCTGGGGTCACATATACCCCATAGGAATACATTGCCTTACTTAGATCAGCTATAGCTCAACGCAAGCCTCCGCGTAAAGTACAACAACAGGACCACAACTGGAAGAATTTGCCCACGGTATCTTAGGTGGTCGGCAAAAGTGCCGAGGATGCTGGTGAGGTGCCGCGCCAAAGCCCCCTGAAGCCGTTTTTAAAGATGGGATCCCATGCCCATCCTCTATGGGTTCTATACAACCTACGGGGCTTAGCGTTAAGGATTCTGTGACCACCCTGACTCACCCTAGCCCCAAGAAGACCCGACTGCTGTAAGGCTTTAAACTTTAGAGTCGGGGAAGTGCGTAGGATTCGAGGGCTACGCCCTCCTAACGCGCCCAAACGCATCAGCCCCACCCAAAAGTTCGAACCCACCCCCAGATTTTGTTTTGGTTTCCGGGGTTTTAAAGGTGGAAAAAAGAGGGGTGCCAATTAAGTGGGGTCCTGGGGGTCTGGGGGTTTGGGGGTCTGCTGTCAAGAAGGAAACCTTGCTGAAGTCTTAAGCTTAAGGGATTCGTATCTTGAGCCTTAGACCAGAACCCGAAGCCTGAAGTCTTTAGCTCAAGGGATTCTTATCTGAAGCCTTAGAGGCAGCCTTTTAAACTTGAGGCTTCCTTGGTTTCCCGCCCAGCCCCCCCTCTGTCTCCGGGGTTATTATTGCTACCCCTTTATTATTGTCATTTTGGAGGCCCGTACGGGGTACTCTTTCCGGATTTGTTTTCGAGCCCCGGCGGATAAGGATTTAAGCAAGGAAACCTTGCTTTCAGACCTCTGGCGGTTTCCAGAATTCCAGGACCCGAAGGCTGAAGTCTTAAGCTTAAGGGATTCTTGTCTTCAGCCTTAGACCAGGACCCGAAGGCTGAAGTTTTAAGCTTAAGGGATTCTTGTCTTAAGCCTTAGACGCAGCCTTTTCAACTTTTAAGCAGCTTGCAGTAAAATTGTAGATATCTGGCCAGCCAAATTTTTCATAAATGTCACCCCATTATTGCTTTCGTCGGAAGTCTTGGACTGGGACCCTCTGGCCCGCCGAATATTATAATTCCCACCCCGTTTAAATACATGCATTTGGCTACAGGAGTCCAGGTTTGGGGTTTAGGGTTTGGCTGGGTTCAGGGAAAATAGTCTTAGGGATAGGGGTCTTCCCAGCAAGGGCAGGTCCTACCAGACACCTTTCGACTGACGAACAGCGCTTAGAGTCCAAACCCCGAGACCTAAGCCATAAAACCCGAACACCCTCGAACGCCCGAAGACGCTCAGCCAAAAGCCCCTACAGGGCCTGCCCTAGAGTCCCAGACAGCGCTGAAGTCTCTGAACTAGAATCGCCAGCGCTCCTTAAGAGGACACCACCGACACCACTAAGGGAAGAACAAGGTTTAGGGTTTAGGGAATGGTGCCTGCAACTATGGTGCTAAGCGGTACCGTTCTTCCCCTTTTCGTTGAGTGTTCGGTGGCCTTATGAATCTCCTAAACCGAATCGAGCCCAAATGCCGTGAAGGCTCCGTCCACCGCCTGGGAGCCAGTGACCCGCGTGCACGTGCCTCGTCAGCTTGGGGCCGCCTCCTCCACGGTCGAGAGGGTTGCTTGCATTCTTAGGGGTTCACCCACAACCTAGGCCTTGACACTTACCCCGCCCATAGCCCTAAATCCTACTTGGAATACAGAAAAAATCCACCAAGCTGGGGCGCCAGTCGCCCCAAGCGCAACTCCCAAGTGGGAGTATGGGGGCTGTTCAAAGTTAGGGCTCGTTGTGAGCATTGCTTTTTCGGAGATTCGAGTACAAGTGCAGCCCAACATCCCCCCCCCCCCCCCTCGGTCGTAAAGCGCGTCAGCCCTGAAGACCCCCGAGCCCCCCCCCCCCACACAAACAAAATCTTTCAAAGGCCTTCAAAGCCCTGAACAAACCCCCAATAGGAACCCCCGCGCTTCCCACAGGTCTACGGGAAGCCCTGGGACATGGCGGCCGAAGGGTACACCACGGAGCGCACTTAGGGGTCGAGGGTTGAGGGTTTAGGTTTGGGGGTTGAGGGTTTGGGACTGAGGGTTTAGGGTTTAAGGTTTAGGGTTTAGGGTCTTGTGGGGTTTGGGGGCTAAGGGGGGGGTTTATGGGGTTTAAGGGTGTTAGGGTTGATAGGACTGCACGGTGTGGGGGCTTATGGGGTTGAAGGGTTTATTTTGGGGTTTAAGGGTGTATTGGCCTGTGGGGTTTATAGGCTTCAGGGGTTTAGGATTTGTAGGTTCGTGGGAGGGGTGGACTCATGGGGCTTATAGGGTTGTTAGGGTTTAGGGTTTCGGGGTGGGCCAGTTGGGGGGGGGGGGTTAGTTCCTGTGGGACATGGGGTTCAGGGATTTAGGATTTTTAGGTTTCGGGGCTTCAGTTTGCAGGTACAGGGATTGAGGGGTTTCGGGTTTGGGGTCTATAGGGGTGTCGCCTCACGTAGTGTTTAAGGAATTTGTGGCTTAGAAAGCTCAGGCTTTGGGGGTTGAGGGTTTTGGGATTCAGGGTCGCCCCAGCGGCACCATTTTTCGTCTATGTAGGGTTGGGTTCCCAAAGCCCCAAACCCCCCCGCCCCCAAAAGAAAGCCCAAAACCTGGGGTCCGTATTTTGCTAGGCGTGGTTGCGGGCTCACAGGTAGTTTCGGGTTTCAAGATAGGGTTGGGGGCTTCTAGGAATCCTTAGGGGCTTATGGGGTTTGGGATTTTATGGTTGGGCGTTCAGAGCTTGTCCAGTTTGCTCCATGTTTTGGGCGTCACAAGATCTTCCGGGCGCTGAGGGGAAACGTGTTTTTGGGAGCACTTGTCTTAATCTCGCAAAAGTGGAGTGGGCAGCTCGGTCATCTGTTAAAGGCTGCGCATGCAAAGAGGACAGTTCAAAGGCAGCCAAGTTGAGTGCCCTCCTTCTTGTCAACCCGAGACCCATCTCCCACAAACCCTCAACACCTAAGCCACTGAACGCTGAAGCCAGCCCTCTAAAGCCGAACTTGTCTGTCTCAATCTTCTACAACTGAACGCTCAAACCTCAAAACCTCCCAAACCTCCCTCGTGCTCGCTGCATCTTAAACCCCCAACAGCTTGGAGGAGTTCTTCTCCCAGTCTGGCGGGGCCTACCGCTTCTTGAAGCAGAAGTGCTCGGAGAACCTTGGCATTGCGTTTTCCCCTCTTTCTACTTAGACTCACCCAGCGCAAAAGCGCTAAGGGTTTTGGATCTGCTCCTTCGGGCCCCGCCTCCAACGGGGTTTGGGGTTAATAAGGTTTAGGTTTTAGGGTTTAGGGTTTAGGCACACTTCCCCCCTCCCATTCTGCCCAGAAACATGGGGAGTTCGTTCCGAGTTTGGGGCCTCCACTGGGAAACCTTTATTTGCTAGGGCCTGCCCTTTATGGCAAGGACCAATAAGGCCACTGTGGGACGCTTTTGTCGAAGACTCCCCTACGAACATGCTGTGTAGGTTCCTTTGAGAATTGTTTTTCTTCGACTTCATCGAAAAGACAGCTCCCTCCAAAGGCCCTGGTTTTCCGAATGGTCCTGTCTTGGGGTTCCTGGGTACCTCCCCAAACAAGGGGGCATCGTGCTAGAGAGCTGGTTCATTGGGCGCTGCTCCCGCGGTTTGCTTATCGCGTGCCTCAAACGGGGGCGGGTCAGTCTCAGCTGCGTTGGCGTCGCAAGCGCTCCCAAACAGATCCTACGGGCCAAAAGTTAAGCTCCCAAGCTCCCCCAAGCCCCAGACCCCAATCTTAAGCCAAACCCCGGGCCCCAACCCCAAGCCCTACGTCCCGAGGCGCCAATGCTAAAAGCCCTCAAACCCAACAGCCGAGCCTCAAGGGTTTCTGATGAAGGGCGCGTGGCCCTTGTCCTGACCCTTCGGCCTCGGGTTTATGCTTTAGGGTTGAGGGTTCGGCGCGTCGGGGTTTGAGGTTTTTCGGGTTGAAGGTTTTAGGGCTTGAGCATGAAGACCAAGAGCACCCCCTAAGTAGGCCTCAGCCCACCCCCTGACCCGTGAACCTCCAAGTTCGCGAGAGCGCTTGAGGAGAGGCATCAAAGTGCTGCCATGGCTCTTCATCTTCGCGCTGCCCGCAGCTCAGGAACCTTCCCAAGACGTAAGCATCCTAATCCCTAAACCCTGAACCCCCTGAAGAGGCCACAAAGCAAGGGAGCTTTTGGGAGAGAGTCGCAGGAATGAGGGCTTTGGGGTGTAGTTGTGTTTTACCACCACCGGACCATCACACGGCCACGATGTTAAAGAGCTGACCATCTGTTGAACCCTGAGCCTCAGCCCTAAATGATTCTCAGCCGTGCTCTAATGGCATCATTGCGGCTGCCTAGTCAGAAATGCTGGAACGAATCAGCTTGAAGTCCCGAGCCCCGATGTAATCTTCCAAAATGGTCTATCACATCTTCCCGAACTAGAACCCAGCCCGCATTCCTTAAGCCCTACGCCCGAAGCATCAGGAAGGAAGATAAATTGTCACATCGGATGGGGTTCTACCTTTATACCCTTTTACCTTTATACCTTTATACCTTTATACCTTTATACCTTTATATCTTTATACCTTTATACCTTTATACCTGTAGTGAAGGACCAACAAGGCCCGAAATCCCTCAGCCCTCACCAGGCAAGGCTGAGGGTTGAGGGCAAGCCCTATAAACCCTATAAACCCCATAAACCCTATAAACCCTATAAACCCTATAAACCCTATAAACCCGATAAACCCGATAAGCCCTATAAACATTCCTATAAACCCAAAAACCCGAAGCCCGAAACCCTAAACCCCAGGTTCTATCTTTTCTTCACGCCCGCCTGCGGCGTGATGTACAGCTGTGGCTGCCGGGTTTTCCCCGCTAAGTACGGCCAGGCGCGCAGCCCTGGCTGTTTTGTGTTCTAGGGGTGTATGCGAGAGTTTTCGGGTTTCAAAGAGTAACGTTTTCAGGGTTGTTCGGGTGTGTGGAGTTTACAAGTAGGGTTTAGGGTAAAGGGCCCAAAACAACCCTAAACCACCCTAAACCCTGAACTTTCAAATAGCTCAAGGCCCTGAGTCCAGCAAACCCTGAATCCTTAAAGCCACCCCTAAAATCCTAAACCCCAAAAAGCCTAAGCCCTCAGACCGAAGCCCTCCTAAACGCTGAACCCTAAGCCCTAAAACCCGAAACCCGAAACCCTAAACCCTAGACCCTAAACCCTAAACCCTAAACTCCAAACTCCTAAGCTCTGAGCCACCATCTTGGGAAGGTCGCCACGTGTAATATCTTCACGCCGGGCCACCCGCCCGAGCACAAGCCAGGGGCCCGGGCGATGAGGTTTAGGGTATAGGGTTTAGGTTTTAGGGTTTGGGACCAAAACAAAAAAGCGCAAGCGCATGAGTTTCGGGTTTAAAGGGCTTCGGGGGGTTTCGGGGGCTTTTGGGATACCGGGGCCCCGAACCCCCCACAGGCTCGCAAGCTGCAAGAGGCCCTAAACCTCTGACTGGGTTCTGTTTTGAGGAGAATACTGGTAATTGGAGGTTTCCGAAATTAGGGGTACCTTATTGCGGTCCTTATTATAAAGGGAATCCTACTACTTGGGGCTTTATATTAGGGGTCGTTCATGGGCAGTTTTGATTGGGTGTGGGTTATGCGTGGCCTAAACAGGGAGCGATCGCAGAGCTTGCTTTGCTTACAATCTACTCGTGAACCTCTACGTCCTGGACTACTAGACCTTACAACCCCAATCCAGGCCCTCAAGCCCTAACCCCCAAGCCCGTTAAATGCCAAGTAGACCCTAGCTTTACCCCTTGTAGCCTAACCTTGAGGACAGACCAGGGCCTAGGACCCGGAAAGTGCCCCAATAAATGGCCCGCAGCTCCTGAATCAAGTTTTGCTTCCATCGTACAGGCAAAGCCCGAAAGCCTCAACCCTGACGCCCAAAACCAAGTCGAGGTGCCCTTGGTGCAGCTGCCAGGGACTGTCCTGCCTATTCGTGGCGTTCCGACGGCATACGCGCTGGCTTAGCGGTTCTGAGTAAGGAAACAGGCTCAGTTAGGGTTCAGGCCAGCTCAGGGCTTGAATGAGGTTCCCTACGGTTCCCTAGAAAATGCCTAGAGAAGGCTTATTGGGGATACTGTTGCAGAATAGGTAGCCCCTTCCCCCGACAAATCTGGGCCCTCTGCGCGGGCCCCCCAAACAAATTTGGGGGGGGGGGGGAGCTCCCAAGGCCCTGAGGGCCTCAAGCCTTTAGGACCTCACAGACACAGACGCAGACGCAGACACAGACACAGACACACGCCCACACGTCACACAGTCAGTATGTGATACCCCACCAGACTCCAGGCCTTGATCCCAATCGCCTCCAGTCTCGGTGTCATTTCTGTCCCCGCCCCAGGCATTCGACACCCGTGCATTCAGGCCCGCAGGGGTTGTTTTGAACTAGGGTCAGCTTGTGCCAGGCAGCGGGCGGCCAGCCTACATGGTCAGTCCCCTAATTCCTTACTGTACACCACTGCTACAAGCGCAAGCACGTTTGATGCCCCAAATTGCCCCACACCCGTGCAGGAATGTCCCACTCTTAGATCTTTGCCCGGATGGATGCTTCGTGACCATGATCACCGTGACTGGAATGCACTGTGAGTTTAGGGTTTGGGCAGTTGAGGTTAGGGCGGTTAGGGCTGGTGTATTTAGGGCCGGTGTTTTTGCTGGAGTTTACTGGGTTTGAGGGTGCCCGCGACTCACAGGAGGGTGGTGGCTTCGGGATGCTAGGGTGTTAGGTCCTTGGGTTTTAGGGTTCTAGTTTTTTTAAGGTGTTGGGGTTCTAGGAGTGTAGGGTGTTAGAGTTAGAGATCTAAGGTTTTCGGGTGTTCGGGCTTTGGGGCCTTGGTTTAGCGTGTGAGGGTTTCAGGGTTAATGAGGGTTAAGGGCTTCGGGGTTTGAATGTTTAGCATGCGAATCCCACAAATCCCAGGCTTAGTGCAGTAGGCTTCACGTCAAGGCTCTAAAGTGTGGTTTCGACCAAAATGGAATACTCCTGATTCCCAAAAAGCCCTAACGCCTACTTTCTACATCCTTTTCCCCTCTTAGGGTGAGGATCCCTGACAAACCCAACGTGAGGGCGACGAAAAGCTGTGCGGGCTGGGATCTTAAGAAAAAATGGGGGGGTTTATGAAAACCACGGACCCCAAAAATAGACCCCCAACTAGTAGGATGCCCTCATAACAAGGACCCCCCCAAGAAGGTACTCCCTAATGTCGGAAACCCCCATCGGGTCCTTGTTTAGCCATGTAGACTTCCAAGCTTCGTAGGAAGAACAGGCCCAAGGATGAAGGCAAAAGTGCTGATCTTCACCTGAGCCCGGGAGCCCTCGACCGCCTAAGCCCATGAAACCTTCAGAAGGTGGGTGTCCTGTACTTCGCCTTCGCGCGAACCGACAAGTTCCTTCTGCGCAGGCAGCTGTCGACTTTGGTGCTGAATAACTCAGCTAGCCCCCTCGAGAACCTCACCCTCCAAGAAATAATTGTGCGAGCCGCACAAAGTATGTCGACAAACCCGCAAGCACACACCATTTTGGATCCCATAGGCCCTAGGCCCGAAGTCTTCACCGAAAAAGTGCCGCGTGCAGCACGGATGGCGCAGTCTGACAGTCGGTCTTCCTGCGCGCGCGTGCACGTGCTCACTATCGTTCGGATTTTGGAATTCCCGCAGCATCCCCAAGCTCTAAGTCCTGAGCATCCCCGGGATCTAAACGCCCCTACGCGCGAAGAATCCCTACCGCCTTCGCGTGACGGTCTATTGGGGACGAAGGCCCCCGAGTCGAAAAAAAACTGTCAGAAAACCGCAGCATCCGAATACAGCCCAGAATGTGTTCTGAATATTAACTGAGGACAACCAGCTTTCGTGACAAAGAACCACTGAAATAAGAATTCGATACCATGTCACAGTTTGCATAGAGAAGTCGCATAGTCCTGGGAAATGAAGTACAACCCCCACCCCACCACGCGCAAAAAAGAACGACAAGCAAACACCATTTTCGGTAGAAACTCTCGTGGAGTTTGGATCTTCGTTGTTTGTGTGGTTTCCCTTTGCCTTCAAAGCAAGTAATGTCTTTTCTATGCGATTAATGCTTTTTAGCATGCGAGTTAAAGACTAGTGACGTGCCAATGCTGGGTTTTTACGCACCAACGAAAATATTCATTGCATACATGTGAAAAACTCACTACATGCGGATTTTATCTTGATTACAAGCAAAGTATGAAATATATGCTAAAAAAACTTCTTAACCAGAAAAGAATTATAGTTGTATATTAATTCAACGCTAATTAGGAAGGCTGTGCCGAAAGCTTTCAAGCCAACCCGCTTTAGGCTTGGGAGCCGTTGCTTGTTTTCCCAGCTCAATCCCGCCCAAAACCCTCTAAGCAACGTAAACCCTAAGCCCCTGACCCCTCAAACCCTTCAGGAACTTCGGTCCTGGGGCGATAGCGGCCACGAAGTCCTGCATCGCCCTGGCATACTTTGTGCTGCTCCTTGTCGGGCGTCGGGCGGGGGGTCTGTTGAGATTAGGGCTTCGGGTTCTAAGGCTTCCCAGTGCTACACGGTTCCCTACTTTGAAGGGCTCGGTTCCTGCGACGTCAGAAAACTTTCGTCCAGAGGGTTGGGGAACCTCGCTTGGCACGCCGGGCTTCCCTGAGGACGAAGCCCCCTCCCCGCCCCGGTTTAGGGTTTCGGGTCTAGGGTTTAGGGTTTAGGGTGACTGCAGCACACACACCAGGAACCACCAGCATGATAATGGTAATGATTTGGGATGTTCCCCTTTATACTAACAGTCCTTAATCGGGATTTTAATAGGGGGTACTATAATCCCTATTAAGGACTGTAAGTATCAGGGGGAACAATAGTGATCATGACACTGGTGATTGTCGTGAAAACAAAAAAAGCGATAACTATGTACTAATTGTAGGTTCGGCCCGTAGAGAGACTACTTGCAGTAGTGTTCGTAAGTGCCCCGTCGGAATGGCTCTGTAACATGACGAGCCCTAGTTTCGCATCACATGGTTTTGGCTCACTTGTAGCGAGGAGCGTTGTTTTTTGAACAAGCTTTTGGTTTATATACATACGACCGACTTTATCGCGGCATGCCGTCTAGAAGATCTTTTACAGTACCCCACGTGGGCCATTTGTAGTCATCAAAGGTTGTGTGATCAAGGTCTTTTTTGTGAACCGATGACGGAGGGTTTTTCAGGCGGGGGGCCTATTGTTGGCGGTCTCTTTTGTATGTTTTTTGGTGTTTTCTAGGTTTTTCCTTGGAAAGCCTCTAGTCGCTTTATGTGCTGAGAGGAAACCGTCAGCCAGCTGGCCCAGGTACTGTTTGGCTTTTGGCGCGATTTTCTTCCTCGGGAGCCCGGAGTACCCGCACTTCCTGGGTGACTGTGCTGCAGTAGGGTTTAGGGTTTAGGGTTCAGGGTTTAGGGTTTAGGGCTTAGGCTTTAGAGGGATTTGCCCTCAACCCTCAGTCCCTCAGTCCTAAACCCAGAGGAAACCATTGAGGTTCGCACCTTTGAGCCCTAAAGCCTGAGCCCTAAAAGTGTGACGGGACTTGAGGATCTGACTGGTGGTGTTTGTCTGGAGCCACGCACGTCGTTGGCTTTGCGATGCTGTGTTGGGTCTTTAGAGATCAGGGGCTTGCGATTCTAAGGGGCCCCTAATGTAGACCCCCATAGAATGGAATCCCCGCATAATAAGGATCCCAACCCCCCCCCCGCTTCATTTTATGGATTAGGTTTGATTGCTCATCTTCGTCTTCCTAAGTTTGCAGGTGCCAGCTTGCAGGTGCCATTCGGAACTGGAGAGTTGGTTTGCATGAGGGCATGTACCTTGTGTGAAGCTCAACTGACACTGCGTGTTTGCAGCCGATCATCTGGCCTCAGCGGCAGCCTAAACCCTAAGCTCAGAGTGCGAGGTATCGAGCGAGAGCTTTCGCTGGACGTGGACAACGCCACTGCTGCTTGAGGCCAAAGGGAAAAGAATAACCAAACCCTCAACCCTATAGAGTCAAAAACCGTTGCAAGTTTCAGAGTTGGCTTTTGGAAATGGAGCGAGGATTGATTGTTCAGGGCCCCCCACACGGACTCAAAACTTCTGTTCCAACAGCAAGCATCTTTTGACCTTCGCGGCCCCCTGACACCCAGCAGGGGCCAGCTGATGCTGATGATGCTTGCCATGAAGGCCGCAGACGCCCTGGGGCCAACTGATGCTGATGATGCTCGCGCCTTCACGGCCCCCTGACACCCAGAAGGGGCCAGCAGCAAGGGGCCAATTGATGCTGATGATGCTCGCCTCCACGGCCAGCTGATGCTGCTGATGCTTGCCAGCAAGGCCGCGGCGGACGCCCAGCAAGGGGCCAACTGATGCTGATGATGCTCGCCTTCATGGCCCCCTGACACCCAGCAGGGGCCAGCTGATGCTGATGATGCTTGCCAGAAAGGCCGCGGACGCCCAGCAAGGGGCCAACTGATGCTGATGATGTTCGCCTTCAGGGCCCCCTTGCACCCAGAAGGGGCCAGCTGATGTTGATGATGCTTGCTATGAAGGCCGCGGACGCCCAGGGGCCAACTGATGCTGATGATGCTCGCGCCTTCACGGCCCCCTGACACCCAGAAGGGGCCAGCAGCAAGGGGCCAATTGATGCTGATGATGCTCGCCTTCACGGCCAGCTGATGCTGATGATGCTTGCCATAAAGGCCGCGGGACGCCCAGCAAGGGGCCAACTGATGCTGATGATGCTCGCCACCCAGCAGGGGCCAGCTGATGCTGATGATGCTTGCCAGAAAGGCCGCGGACGCAGCAAGGGCTAACTGATGCTGATGATGCTCGCCTTCATGGCCCGCTGACACCCAGCAGGGGCCAGCTGATTCTGACGATGCCAACTGATGATGATGCTCGCCTTCATGGCCCCCTGACACCCAGATGGGGCCAGCTGATGCTGCTGATGCTCGCCATACAGGTCGCGGATGCCCAGCAAGGGGCGAACTGATGCTGATGATGCTCGCCTTCATTGGCCCCTGACACCCAGATGGGGCCAGCCCCTGACACCCAGATGGGGCCAGCTGATGCTGTTGATGCTCGCCATACAGGTCGCGGATGCCCAGCAAGGGGCGAACTGATGCTGATGATGCTCGCCTTCATGGCCCCCTTACACCCAGATGGGGCCAGCTGATGCTGCTGATGCTTGCCATAAAGGCCGCGGAGGTCACCGAAGTATGAGGCGCCGTCTTGTAACAAGGCCGATTGTCTCTACAACTGACCAATCTCTCAAGCGCCTGCAGAGGCTTCACAGTTAGGCGGGGAAAGCGGGCTGGGATCAAGGTGCAAGGTTTAGGTTGCGCCTTTTAAACCAAACCAAAACCCGAGCGCCCGACAGACACACAGGGGGTCTCCAGGGTTTGGGGTTTGAAGCGGGCCAGTTCGGACACCATCAGAAAGTTTTCTATTCTTGGCCATCAGTATTCAACGCATCTTGCATCCTGATTCCTAGACCTATGGAACAGGTTGAGGCCCTAAACCCTTCACCCTCAACCCTATAGCGTGTAGCCCAACCCAAAGCCGATCAACCCAAAACCCAGATCTGGACAGGTTCACCCCAGGTACGTTCTTTTGGCTTGGGCCCATGAGTGGATCCAGCACGCTGGCAGCGGTGTGGGGCAGAAGCTTCGCGTGGTGCAAGTAGAGCTTAGGCCATGAGGCTTCGGGTTGAGGGCGTCCCTGGAAGGTTGTGGAAGCCTTGTGGACATTGCTGAGAAATCAGGGCTGAGTAGGGACGATGTGAAGTCGACCTCTCTCAACCTGTACAAGGCCCAAACCTGAAACCACGACACCCCAATCTTGAGCCTAGGTCTGCCAAACTCTACCTGGAACCCCAAGCCCCAAACCCTACATCCCTCTTGCTCTTGCACACCTTGCGGTTTCAAAAAAAGACAGAATGTGCACAGCATTCAGAGTCATGGTAGAAGAGAAATGGTTGAAGGTTTCGGGCGTTGGAGTTGGAGTAGGGGCCCCAGCACCTCTGCCGGAACCATGCCCGACCTGGTCCTGGCGTGCCAAGCACGCAAAGGAGCCATCATAGGGCAGTGCCTCGCAAGGGCGAGGCAGCGGTTGCGAATTTCAGGAGTTGAAGGTTTTCTGGTAAGCCCTAAAAACCCTATCCCTAGCTGCCTGGGGTTTCTGCGGCTCTTGCAGAACCCTGGAGGGCGTAGCCTTCTTCATGGGCACTTTCGTGAGCAGCGACCAGATGGGAGCCATAAATCTGCGTGTCTGCCGATGCCAAGATAGTGAGCCATGTGAGGGAAGTGCCCGCTGGCCTGCGCGGACGTTTATGAAGGTTCGCAGTTGAGCAGTGCACCGTAGTCAATGTCGAGCAGTCCTCATGTCAATCCAGCCGAGTAGCGTTCCAGCAGGTTACAGCAGGAAGGCAGCAGACGGCGGTGCAGAGCCCATTTGAACACAGTCACATGTCAAAGTAAGTAGACGCTTTGAGGACATTTTGTCCGCGAAGCGAGAGAATCGCCGGGGTTTGCTCTGCTTGTAGCCATGGATGCCTCGCAGAACCCGGTCTCCCTGGACGTGCCATCGCAGATAGGCGTGGCCCCGACACAGATGGATCCAGAGTCGCAGGAGTCGCCCACCCAGCCGGAGACCCCTGCTAAGGACAGGGGCCACTCAGTCCCCGACATGCTCCTGCGGTCACCGCCTTCCACGCAGGAGATGCTGGACGTGACGCTCCCAAGTGCACCGCCTGGCTCCTCGTCGTCAGCGGCGCCGATGGAGGAGGAGGATGCTCCGCTGGCCTTCAGCACGCCTCCGAGAAAGAAGCAGAGGGACGGAGAAGGAGGCCGCGCCTCGCCGTCGCTGGACGGGGCACTCTCGCCGGAGGCAGTCTCGCCGGAGCAGCGAGACACGTGTTTGAGACGGTGGCTGCGGCGCTCCTTCCCTGCACAGGGCCAGAGCCCTTCGAGTTTGTCGGAGCCTACACCGTGTCCTGCCGTGAAGCACGACCCGTACATGCCGACGCCCCTGGCCGGAGCTCCTGCCTCGCCAGCTGGGACTCAACAGCAGTCTGCACAAGTTCCTGAGCACGAGCCGCCGCCCTCAAGGAGCACGCCAGCCGGGAAGCAGAGGCCGGCTCCACACAAGGGCCGCCGGAGCAGCCGGAGCCGCCGCAGCAGCAGGTGCCGGTCGAGATGTTGGACGAAGAAGTGGGACGCTGCCTGTACCGGTTTGCGGCGCAGATCCAAGTTGAGGTGGTCGCCTTCTACGTCCTCTTCTTGAACAACCACACGGAGGCGCTCTGGAACCCAGCGGCGCTTTCCATGGTGACTGAGCAGGCGGTGGAGGGCTTCATAGCTGCTTATCACTGGCAGCCGAGCGCAGATGCTCAACCAGTTCACTATAGAGAAGTGGCTACACAAGCAGACCGTGCCGGCCGCTACGTTCACTGACTTTCCACTGGTAGCAGACAGGCAAGTGGCCAGACTGCTTGTACCCGCCCTCCTGCCGTCTTCGCTCGCAGGCCAAGGCCAAGGCCCAGCTACAGAAGAAACCCGCCAGGGGGCTCTGGCAGGTAGGTAGATAGGCATTGTCAGACCTCTAGCATGCCACATCTGCGAACCTCTGGCATGTAGACCCTCTCGCACACCCCGCAATAGTCTGACCTCTAGCATGTTACTGTCGCAGGGAACAGCAGTGGGGCCCTCCAGCACACAGACCTCCGGGTGACATCTAGGGCCTCCAATATAAGCACAGACCTCCCCTGTACCTACAGCAGTGGGGACCTCTAGCACGGCTGCAAAGCTGCATATCAACCTCTAGCAGCAACCCTCTCACATGCAGACCTCTAGACCTCGCAGCAACCTCTCGCACATTCCTCTCGCAGCAACCTCTCCCAGATACCTCTCCCAGATACCTCTCGACCTCTCGCATATACCTCTCGCAGAACACCTCTCGCAGATACCTCTCTAACATGCTCCCGCGCAGGCCAGCTGCCCGCTGCCGCTCTGCCAGAGGTGTCCGAGGGCTCGTGCTGCCGCCGTGCCATAAGCCTCCAGTGCTGCGGTCAGGAAGTGGTCGCAGAATCGTGGGCAGCACACCACGGGGTCGGTGCCAGCTCCACAGCTCCTGGAGGCCAGAGGCTGAGGGTGGGCGACTCCTGCGACTCTGGATCCATCTGTGTCGGGGCCACGCCTATCTGCGATGGCACGTCCAGGGAGACCGGGTTCTGCGAGGCATCCATGGCTACAAGCAGAGCAAACCCCGGCGATTCTCTCGCTTCGCGGACAAAATGTCCTCAAAGCGTCTACTTACTTTGACATGTGACTGTGTTCAAATGGGCTCTGCACCGCCGTCTGCTGCCTTCCTGCTGTAACCTGCTGGTTGAGGGTGCAGGGCTTCAGGTTTCTAGCCATTCAGGGCTTCAGTTTTGATAGAGACAAACCCTTAGGCTACTATGGACTTTGGCGAAAGTAAGCCCCAAAACGAAGAGTCCTCAGAGGCTTAGGCCAGGCCGCAAGTTGCCACTAAACCCTAAACCCTAAACCCTGGGACCCAAAACCCTCAACCGTAAACCCGAAACCCTAGACCCTGAACTTTTGAATGTTGGTTCGGCTCTCGAAATATTTCATTCGTAGACCTGATCAGACTTGGTGCTTTGGGGCATAGGGCTTCCACAGCTGAGGGCTTGCGGCGCCCTAAGCCCTAAGCACCAGTATCCCCAAACCTTTCAGGTTTCGGACTCGAACGTTGCAAGGGCCTGCACACAGCTCTAAATATGGTCTCTTGGTCACTCGCCCCTTCCCTTTGGTACCAAAAAAGCTATCCCGTATCCCAGAAGAGGACCATCATAAAACCTAGATCCAAACACTTGAAGCCTTCACCCCAAACACTGAACGCTGTAGCCATTTCCGTCGAGGCCGCCTCGACGTTCCGGTAGCGCGACCATTCTACTAGTAGACTACAGCGGGCTGGGAGAGCCCATCTCAAGAGGTCGAGGAAGTCTGAGTCTCCCTGCGCCCGCACAATGCTGCATGCCAGCATGTTGCCCATGCTGCTTAGCGTTCTGATGACCACCAGTGCTGTGCAGCGCCGGATGCTGTACAACCGCACCGAGCTACTTGCAGAAGGGTTTAGGATTCAGAGCTTAGGGTTAAAAGCGCGAACAGCAATCCTAAACCTTATAAGGAAGGTCGACCTTTGGACCTCCGGACACGCAAGAAGAATAACAAGAAGAACCTCAGCCCCAAGCCCCCTGTAGACCCGTCCCGTTGAACCGAGGCTCTCCATAATGATTCCGGAGGGGAGGCCAATGACAAGCCTGCCTTTGGTGGCACTCCAGGCTCACACGCACTTCCCCGAGCTGCAGGCGGGCCCCAAGCCCTGTAAGCCTGTAAGCACCCTAACCTCGAGGTTGGCAAGGCTTGAAGAATCCCTGAAGTGGGGCAGGTTATGGGGGTTTACAGAGGGCTTCGGGGGTTTATACGACATAGGGTTTGGGCTTGAGGTCTCGAAGCTCAGATTCCCGGAGCGCACTACGCCCTAAACCCCACACCCTAAAGGTGCAGATCCTCTACGCCCGGGCGAACGAGGAGTTCGTGTACACTGAGACGACTCTCCTGAAACTGCGAAACGAAGGGGCCCTGGTCCTCACACCGATGCCCGAACGCGGTTTCGTACATCTTCTTACTCAAGCGCGTGTGTTGGAGAGTTCTGAGGTCTCGGCGAGAGCGGCGGGAGTTTTGATTTATAGATCGCGGTCTCTCAGTCTCTGAGTGCATGTAGCAAAACAGCGGCGCAGTAAGCGAAGACGCACCGATAAGCAAACAAGTGCATATAGCAAGCGAAGACGCACCAATAAGCAAAACAGCCGCACATAGCAAGAGAAGACGCGCCAAAAAGCAAAACGACTGCATATAGCAAGCGAGGATGCACCAACAAGTTAAAACAGTGTAACAGCTGCATGGTAAGACGGTGGCAGCGTGTGGTGGCGTGTGGTTGGTGGCGTGTGGTGGTGGCGTGTGGTGGTTGCGTGTGGTGGTGGCGTGTGGTGGTGGCGTGTGGCAGTGGCCTGTGGTGGTTGTTGAGTGCGGTGGGGCGTGGTGGCCTGTATGGTAGTGGTCTGTGGGGGTGCTGTTTGGTGGTTTTGGGTGATTTCTGATATCGTGTGGAGTGTCGTGGTGATGATGATGGTGATGGTGACGCATGGTGGTGGTGGTGGTGGTGGTGTGTAGTGGTGGTGGTGTGTAGTGGTGGTGGTGTGTAGTGGTGGTGGTGTGTCGTGGTGGTGGTGTGTAGTGGTGGTGGTGTGTAGCGGTGGTTGTGTGTAGTGGTGGTGGTGGTGGTGGGTGGGTGGGTGGGTGGTGGGTGGGTGGTGGGTGGGTGGGTGGTGGGTGGGTGGTGTGGGTGGGGTGGGTGGGTTGGGTGGGTGGGTGGTGTGGTTGTGGGGTGTGTGTGTGTGTGTGTGTGGTGTGTGTGTGTGTGTGTGTGTTGTGTGTGTGTGTGCGTGTGTGTGGTGGCGTGTGTGTGGGTGTGTGTGTGTGGTGCGTGGGTGTGTGTGTGTGTGTGTGTGTGGGTGTGTGTGTGTGTGTGTGTGTCTGTGTGTGTGTGTGTGTGTGTGTGTGTGTGTTGTGTGTGTCTGTGTGTGTGTGTGTCTGTGTGTCTGTGTCTGTGTCTGTGTGTGTGTCTGTGTGTCTGTGTGTCTGTGTGTCTGTGTGTCTGTGTGTCTGTGTGTCTGTGTGTCTGTGTGTCTGTGTGTCTGTCTGCTGTCTGTCTGTCTGTCTGTGTGTCTGTGTGTCTGTGTGTCTGTCTGTCTGTCTGTCTGCCTGCCTGCCTGTCTGTCTGTCTGTCTGTCTGTCTGTCTGTCTGTGTGTGTGTGTGTCTGTCTGTGTGTGTGTGTGTCTGTGTGTGTGTGTAGTGGTGGTGGTGTGTAGTGGTGGTAGTGGTGGTGGTGGTGGTGGTGAGTAGTGGTGGTAGAGGTGGAGGTGGTGGAGGTGGTGGAGGTGGTGGTGGTGGTGGTGCTGGTGGTGCTGGTGGTGCTGGTGGTGCTGGTGGTGCTGGTGGTGGTGCTGGTGGTGCTGGTGGTGGCGTAGTGGTGTCGGTCCTAGCAAAAACCCTGCTAACAGCACGGACTAATCCATAGTGGAGACAAGCTGTTTTCCTCGGCTTTGCCCATCAAGTAGAGAATCAAGTACCCAATATGTAGCATTTTTTCATGTATACTAGTACACACCCAAATATATTTAATCATATATAGACTGGTATATTTTATTGTAATGTATAGCCATATAATGATAGATAATACAATCTAAGTACAAGTACAAAATACTGTACATGAATTTAAATAACACATTAAACATACTCTTGTGATATGCAATCACTTGTCTCGCACGATATAACAACCCTTCAGAATGACTGAATAAACAGATAAACCAAATAAACTATGGTATACTAATGTATGAGCCTTTGAAGACCAAACCCTCAGTTTCTTGGAGTTTTCTTCTTTCTCTGAAAGAAGAACCTATCGAATGAGGTCTACAGACCGCTACTCCTCCATGCTGAAATCCCCGGAGTTCTGGTATTAAACACTGACGCCGAAGATCTTGCTGGCACAGACAGATTCTTGGCTCTGCAATTCGGCCCACGAAAGCATCAGGCCTTTCCTGCCCTACCACTACGCCGCTTCGCCGCACGTCTCGCCATCTTTTCTTTTCTTTGGCTCCTTGAGTCTATCGAGGTTGCCCTACCGAATCGGTGATTTCCCAAAACGGCAAGCCCAAAAACCGTCAACCCTGAGCCCTACACCCCAAGCCCTAAACCCTGGAGGTAGGGGCCCCTTGGGGCCACCTCGTTGGGGAATGTCCCATCAATGGCGGCAACGGCGGCCTCTCTTTGAGGGACCGTGAGGCCATGCTGAGGGTGACCAGGCGGGCTCTAAGATTTTTCAGGTTCAGGGTTTAGAGGGTTTAGGGTGTTTGAGTTCGGTTTTTCGGACTTTTCCCAATTGCCCACTGTAGGGGAGAATGGCCCAACCTAAGCCGCACACCCTCTCCGGAACGCTCAAGATGTTTAAACCTTCCGACAGCCTCGAAGTCTGCCAGGACGACGACCGATTCCCAAGGGTTAGCCGAGGACAGAGGGAGGATCACGGGTAATCCTAATCCTCAGCCTAAAGTTAGCCACCCCCCCCCCCCCCCCCCCCCCCCCCCCCCCCGCTCCCCCCCCCCCCCCCCCCCCCCCCCCCCCCCCCCGCCCCCGCGTCCCATGGCTGGTCTAAATAGGGTTAATTTTGCAGCTGGTTTTCGTATATTTCAAGCGGCCAGGAGACTCAGCAGACATTGCTTCTCTTTCATTCCCCGTTACCACTCTAGAAAGAAAGCGACAAGAGGTTTCTTTCTCGAAGCTTGCTCGTCTGTGGGACCAAAGTCGCGCCTTCGTGGGGTGCGGCCTCGCTCGCCGTCCTCGAAGCTGTCATCGCTTTTGGGCGTCTGGGCTCTCACTGCTGGGGGTCTGCGACTCAGGTTAGTTTCCGGGGGAGGGCAGTGGAGGCGCTAGGTCGCAGCCTCAGGTTGGTGGGATTGTGGGCATTGGCTAATCTACCGGCAGCTCGTGTGCCGCAAGGAGGAACTTTGGCTCCAATGACTCGGAACGCCTCTTAACAAGTGGGGCCTCTCCCTCCTAGACCGCGTAAACCCTTAGGCCCCAAACCGTAGACCACCTCGACACATCAAGTCCCCACCCCCGCAGGACGTGTTCTTCTGCAACCATACGGCGGCGTCGTCCATGAACCTGGCTCCCCGTGAAGTTGCCCAACACTTCTCCCGCGAGGAGCTGGGAGGGTGGGGGATTTGTTTGTTTAGGTTGTTCTGCTTTGGGGTTTCATTCGGGTTCAGAGGGCTTACATTTGATCAGGGCTTAGAGAATTTTGGTTTGGGGGGCCATGTAAGTTGCTATGGTGAGCACCTCAACCAGTGAGCTCGCAGGCGGATATACACAGTCACACCGACACTGATCTCCAGCTATGCACGGTCTAGCATGCCTCTTGCACAGCGCCCTCTCCGGCCAATATGTTTGGTGAAGGTCTCTCCTTGCGGAACTTGGCCCGGTCGATCATGTCGCAACCAATGTTTGCATCCTTTTCTGTGTGCCAGATCGAGCTCTTCTCCGTCCCGTGCACATTGCGGGAGGATTGCCAGGGAGGGTTTTGGGATGTTTTGGGTATACGAAAGTGCAACCCGGCACTTCGCGAAGCTGCCTGCTTCTCAGATACTGTCACAGCCAGAGTTGTGCAGCATGCTGCATACGCTACTGGGGGGTATTCTCAATCGTCACCACGTCGTCGGCGTACGAGCAAGCTCGTGCCAGCCAGTGCGTCGAGGGCAGCCCGTACCCACCACCAAAACTCGGGGGGCACCTCTTTTCCGCTGGATTGTGCCTTTGGCTGTCACATTGTTTTGATGGTGCCAGAGGCCTTTTTTTGTCATTCTGCATCTTGCAATGTGACAGTGGCTGTGGTTTGGGACCCTGTCCCTCAGGATCCTTGTCTCTGCCCAGTCATCTTCCAACTGTCCTGAAGCGGGGATCTGGTGGTTAGCAGACGCTCGCTGTCTTGATCCTGTCAAAGGTATCCCAAACCTCAAAATGGAACGACCGATGATCAAGCTCGAGACACGAAGTCCAAGCAGTTGGTCGAGCCTTGAGCAAGAGCGTTGTGTGGCATGTATTCCCACGGACGGCGCCCTCTGTTCTAAACTCTTTGATGTTGCAGCCACGTGCGAAAAAGCGATTCCAATAGCATGACATGTTCGCTCGGCACTCGCTCAATCTGGCACACTGTTTTGGCGGCGGGTTTCAGAGGGTACGTGCGCAATTCCCTCAGCCCATGCGCTTCACACCCAGACACACACAGACACACAGACACACAGACACACGCGCAAACACACACACACACAGACACACACACACACACAGACACACACACACACACACAGACACACACACACACACAGACACACACACAGACACACACACACACACAGACACACACACACACACAGACACACACACAGACGCACACACACACACACAGACACACACCCACAGACCACACTAATACCAAACAGACATAAAACATGTGCTTATAGTTATTGTAGATTGTATCCACAGACCACACACAACACTCTATCATACTCTAGAGGCACAGAACTTGTACACACACAACACAGCCGATAGACACACACACACAACCACACATTCACACACACAACCACACACTCACACACACAACCACACAACCACACACAACCACACACACACACACACACACACAACCACACACACACACACACACACACACACACACACACACACACACACACACACACACACACACACACACACACACACACACACACACACACACACACACACACACACACACACACACACACACACACACACACATACACACACACAGACAC